GCTCGGGTGGTGATCCCAGGGTCCTGGGATCGAGCCCCGCATCGGGCTCCCTGCTCCGCGGGAAGCCTGCTTCTCCTTCTCCCACCCACCCTGCTTTTGTTCCCCCTCTCTCTGTGTCTAAGTCAAATAAATAAGTAAAATCTTAAAAAAAAAAAAAATAACAACATTGCTGGGGCACCTGGCTGGCTCAGTCAGAAGAGCATGCAACTCTTGATGTCAGAGTTGTGAGTTTGAGCCCCACGTTGAGTGTAGAGATTACTAAAAAATAAATAAAACTGAGCATTGCTTATCCAACCCAACATGGATGGATCTAGAGGGTATTATGCTAAGTGAAATAAGTCAGTCAGACAAAGACAAATACTGTATGATTTCACTCATGTAGAACTTAAGAAACAAAACAAACGAATAAGAGATAAACAAAAAAATGAGATTCTTAAAATACAGAGAACAAACTGGTGGCTGCCAGAAGGGAATTGGGTGGGGGGATGAATGAAGTAGGTGAAGGGGCTGAAGAGTACACTTACTGTGATGTGAGTAATGTATAGAATTGTGGTATCATTATGCTCTACACCTGATACTATAACTGTTAATTATACTTGAATTTTTTTTAAGATACTCTAAAATCAGTATTGCTGAAAACACTTGTTTTTATATTACAGTCCTAGTTTCATGACCTTGGAGACCTCCTGTAATGTTGTTTTTGTTTGGTCTGGCAGAATAGTATATTCTTAAAGTGTCCCTCCCATAAAGCAAACTGATCTGTTACTGCGTCTTCCCAAAGTTTTATCTTCTCTACCTAAGAAACAGCAAGATGATTTATACAGATTACCACAAGCATAAATTTAATAAGATCAAAAATAAGTATAAATTTTAAGAGCATTCAGGAACAGTGAAAAATTTTATAAACAGCAAGGCTTTTTTTTCCTAAAAAAAATCATATCATTAAAGTTTTAGGTTTGTATATTTTTTCTAAATGATTCCAAAAACAATTAGTCTAACTGGTTTGAATAAAGACTAACAAAACAAATAGCCTTATAAACTGGTGGTTATAAACCTTTGCAGCTAATGGTTTGACCAGTGAGTGAACAGAGGCTCAGAAGCATTTCTGTGACTTGCCCAAGGTCACACAGTCAGAGACACCCAGGACCAAACAGCCATTGAACAAAACTCAAAGGAACCAGAGGACTTTCATTTTTAAGTGGTGATGTTTTAAGTTCTAATCTTAGGAAGAAATGCTGTTAGTCCTTAGGTCAAATTAACTATAAAAATGATCTATTTTGATCTGATGTGAGAAGACAGGAATTCCCATGTCAAACACAAAAGAGATACAGGGGGTCAGAATTCTTTTGATTACCCTGTAATTGCTGCTTGATTTCAAGCGCTGTCTAAAACATCACTGGAAGATGCAGTGTATAGGTAGCTATGAAAGCAATTTTAAGGCATATTTTTATTTACACTGCACATATACTTCACCAGCCTTCTCATTTCCCATAAAACATTTTATATCAAAGGCAATTTAAAAACTTTCTTTAAATTTATGTTTTGTAAGGAGGATAAGCAGTAACTAATATGTCAAAGTTGCTGCTTGGTACCATATTGAGTCCCAGAAATGACCTGGCATTATGAAAGATTCTTGTTCAAAAGGATTAAGAAATACAGTAATGTTTTCTTTCTTTCTTTTTCTAGCCAAGGACCCTTGTCATCCATTAGAGCGGTTATCAAGAGATGTAAGTTTGTTTTTTCCTGCTCTGTATTTCCTCTGTGATATTTTAAATGATGGTTTAGGTTTCCAGCAAGTGATTATATTTGATGAATCTTACAGAGAATCCAACAAAAGTAGCTTCTCTTTTCTCCTCAGGAGTACTAAACCATTTCAGACAAGCATTTAGTTTTTCAACTTTCTTTTCAACTTTCATTTATTGATAAGCCCGTTCCTCAGAATAATATTTTTCTTTTACAGAACTAAACTGTTTTTAAAAATGTGGATTATCTGGTCAATTTTTATGATCTAAAATAAATTCACCATTTTCTGTAGGTAGAGACATCTGATGGGTGTAAAAAAATGTTATACCCTGTCCTTTTTGATTCGTTTGTTTCTATTGTGTTTTTATTTAACTGTATAAATGCCTGTGGAGATTGGCCCATGGTAGAATTCTCTCCAAAATGGTGCATTCATACTTTCAACCTTACCTCTTGGATAAAGCTTTACGAAGCCTCTTGGTTAAAACTTGCTCTTGGTGCAGAATTTTAACATCGTTTTTAACAAAAGTCTCTGCAAAGTTCCCTTTAGTGTTAGGGAAACTAAACAGAACATGGATTACCTGTTTTAAACAAAAATAAGGAGAGTTGTTTTTTTTTTTTTAAACCAAGCAGATGGATTTGTTCGAGAATTGCAATGTGGAACAAGCAAGCTACAGCAAAACCATAGGCAAGTCTACAGAGCAAAAGAGAGGAACATTCTTTTAGTAAGAAAAGGGGGGAGTTGGGAAGACTGTTAGAAAGAAAAAGCCCATTGGAGTAAACTGGGGAGTTTACTCATGACGGTTCAGGATGAGGAAGCTTGGAGACACTTGTAGGCAATGGGGAAGGAATTCATGGAGAGATCAGACTAGCGCATAAAAAGGGGAATTTGGTGAAATAGGGCCCTAGCAGAGAGGAAGGAGATGAAACAACGGGAAAACCTGGTTTGTGGTATCTTTTAAAAAAAAAAAAACTCTAACTCAGTCGTCTTTTAATTTTTATTTATCAGTTACTTTGCATATACTCAAAGAAATATTTGTTAGTTGTATTATTCCTGGATGTTTAGGCAAGAAGGTCAAACATCCTCATGTGATACCATGTAAATACAGAATGAAGAATAATTGTGTCCTCCCCTTCTCTTTTGCCTTTTTGCCCATTCTGTAAGAAAAAGTTGTAAACAATTTTTGGCCTACCCAACCCAGTGAAATGTCTGTTTTACTATCCTGTACTTAGTCATCTTTCTCCAGCAAGGAGAAAGACTTCATCACCTTTTAAAAGCGATATTCCTTTACTGGTTGTATTTTAAATTCTTCCATAATGATACTGGTTCCAATCAAGCCCTGAGGTTCTTCTTTTTGCCGTCATTCTTGTGAGCCCTAAATATTATGGGTAAAAGTTTTGAAGGTATTATAATTGGATATATCTGGAATTTCATGCTTTTCCTGTCATTAACTTTTTAAGAGAAAATTTTTCTGTGAAATTCAGATTCAGCTAATATTCATTGCCTACTGTGAGTCAGGAACTGCTCACATACATTATAAGACAATGCTCTGCATGGTAGATGTTAACCCCATTTTACCGATGGTAGCGTCACTGAGTCTCAGAAGGTGAAATGGCTTCACAAGGTAAATCTGAGATTTTAATCTAAGCTGCCTGACTACAACGTCATTGAGCTTTCAACTCTACAGATGTTCTTGTTATCGTGTCAACCACGTCTAAATCATACCCAGTCTCAAGGAAATGTTAGTTATTTTTTTTATTGTGATTTTCATTGGCAAGGTGGTACTATAGCAATGATGCTTATAATATTATAACCCTTCTGTGTGTTTATTTCATCTGATCATCATTTAATCAATGATTTTGAATTATTTAGAATCAGGATTAGCATCCAGCTCTCCCGGCTCCATGAGTTTTTAAACTGCCTCAAGGAATGAGGGGTCCCAGCCCTTCCCGTAATAGGCTATGTGACCTGGGATAATTCATTTAACTTCTCTGTGTCCCATCCTCCCCATCTCTAAGGTTGGAGTAGGAGGATCACTGAGCGTGCTTCCGTGCTTATGATCCTGTTGAAGATTAGGAGGATTCTTTCTTAGTGCTAATATTGCAAATCCAGATCTCAGTCTTTTGTAAACAGCTGAATATGAATTTATTTTGTACTTAGAATTTAACCATATAAACTAGACAAGTTTGAAAATAATTCTGTGGAATGATAGGATAACTTTTAACTGGGGCCTTAATCCGAAATGCACAAAAGACTAGCTAGCAATTTGTGGCAGGGGTTAAAAGGAACATGTTGGTCTGTATGAGCATCGGTGGCAAATTCGATTGTCCTGGCAACAGCTACACCAAATCTGTTTGATCTGGGAAAGCGAGAATGAGAGGAAGTGGATAGTTGAGAAATTAGCAGGAACAATGTGAAATGCTGTATGAAAGTCTAACGTATTTCTAGCCACTAAACTTGTTCAACACTGACAAAAAGAGCTGGTCATTCTGTAAGGATTGGGACAAAAGAGATTTCATAGATGAGTGAATGTGAAGGAAAAAGAAATTCAAAGCAGGAGACAGAAAAGCAGTGATTCTCAAAGGACGTGGAGGAGATTCACAAGTAAGGGTGGGAGACCTCTCCCTCGTTCTGCTGCCTCCAGAGCGGGAGTACCCCTCTGCTAACCAGGGTGCTCCTGTTACCACTTCTGGTGTGAAGGGGCAGAATCAAGTGACAAGATTTAAGAGAACGTGAACTGACTACTGGATTCCCCTTTGAGTACTGTATTCATACTTTAAAATTAATCCCTATTGAAGTAGCAAATTGATTTTGCAAAATGGTTTTTAGGATTTTTGTTTGTTTGTTTTTTGGTTTTTGGGGTGTTTTTTTTTTTTTGCAATGTTGTTAAAAAATATAGGTAGATTTGTTTTTACTGGGGTTACGTGGGTGAATGTCCTGGTCTGTACAGATGTCTCCTTGCCGCAACCTATTTCTTTACTCTCTGAAACTGTGGTGCATCAACTTTCCTTTTCCGTCCAAGTGTGCCGGTGGGGGAAAAAACAGCGGCATGGCAGACCAGTGTTGTTCCTGAATTCCTTTTAAAGCATAGGCAACTGGTTCACTCTTTTTTTCCCTCCCTTTCCTCTTCTATAACCCCTTCTTTTTTTCCCTTAGCACTCATGAATAGTGCACAGCAAAAATGCCCCGTGGAAGAGGTATGTTTGTGACAATGACATGATATCTTTTTAATAGTGTTGTGTCTGCTGATTCTAATCGGCTGTCGTGATGGTGGTGACGTGATTGTAGCGCACTTGCTGAGCCTCTGTCTGACTTTGTGCAACCATTCGTACAAATCAGATGTGCCACTCAGGGCTTGAGCCTCTCTGTCCTCTTTTATTCTAGGAGACAAAATGTACCTCAGCTTGGTTTAGCTCTCGATAAAAATCGGCTAATAATACGAATGTAGGACGCCTGATAGACCAGCCCAGCATAGGTTCAGCTGTCGCAGCTCCAACTCTAGCCTAGATTTCATTCCCACCTCCCACCTCCACCCCTGCATCCCAGCTTTGGCAGCCTCCGTGTTCAGAGAGGACCCGAAGTTAATAGGAGGAAAGAAAGAAAAGATTCATACTGTCCCCCTTTTCAAGTCAGAAGAATTGAAAAAGTAGAGTACTAGAGAGAGATGAAGGCGACTGGCAGAAATAGTTTATATCTGAAACAAATACCCCTTTGTGTGCATATCTTTACAGTATAGTACTTGAAGATTTTCTTAAAGGAACTGTTAGAATGTGCTTCTTGAAAATAGGAATAATATTCTCCATTACACGTATGTGTGATATGTGACACCAAATGTGACATTTTCTAGATCATATGATTAAGACTTGATTTAATTTAAAAATAAATTTGGAAAAAGTCTGAACCATCTAGCTTTTTGAGTTTGAGGCTAAAAGGAAAAGTCAGTGCTGCATACACAGTAATATGTGCTATAAACATGTTTATAAAAGTGTAGTGAACAGTTTTTGCATTTATTACTGTCCTTTGAATTTAAGTAATAGAACAATTCAAAGGTTATAAGAGTCCAGAAAAATGAGAAAATAGATGAAAATTGGACCCCTTTCACTTTCTTTACAATAGAGTTGTAAACAAACATCACAAAAGTGCAGTCATATGGATTAAAATAGATATTTAAAATTTTTTCTGCCCATTGTAATTTCATGTCATTGTTGTAATGCTCTTACCAGGCAATTTGTATTTAATAGTTTTTTTCTTTTCTCTTTTCATTCTTCAAATTATTTTCAGAACCATGGAATGTGCTTTGGGGAATTTTTGAAATCTATGTTTTCTTATGCAATTCAAATATGTAACTGAAACTAATTTTACGCCATATAAAAAGATGAATTTGATTTGCTTTTCCTGCTTAAGGATGTTAAAATTCATACATCCTCTATGATTTCAAGTATAAGCTAATTTTTTCCCATAATGTACCCTATAAAAATATAAACCTTTATTGAATGTACTGATTTTGTATTATAGCAGTTTATTCTTTCTTCTGTAGCTTCTCGGACTTCTTTTCAGAGCGAGCATCATCGAGATAGGAGGTATGGTTATAACAGAGGTCATATATTTTGCTAATAATGAAATCGGAGTCTGCTGTGTATCAGTTAGCCAGTTAAATATCTCTTTCATAAGCAGTGTATTACATAACCAATGTTCTGCCTCACCAGTACAATTTCCGAATTAATCTGTAAGTTAGAATGATGAAAATTTTGGTGGGAGAAGAAGCAATACAAGCCTCAAAATGATCTTTTGGCAATAATTATTTGTTGAAATTAATTTTTTAAATGTTTATTAAGCACCTGCTATATATAAAGCCCTGTTGTAACTGCTTCAAAGAATTGCTCAAAGAAATGCTTTGTACCTCCTAGCTACTTTGTAAATGTTGCGTAAATAAATGGATGACAAGTTAGAAAATTGAGTGGAAGAATAAGGAGGGAAAAAAGAGGCAGGGTGGATGGATAGCTGAATGGCTAAATGGCTGCATGGCTGGTGTGAGGGAAGGAGGGAGGAGGGAGGAGGGAGGGGCGAGTCACTGGATAGATATAGAAGGAAGGACCAGTAGAGACACACAGATGGTAGAATGAATGGAAGCATGGATAGGTAGATAAATAGATGGATGGATTTTTATAAGATATGGTCCCTGCTTTCACATTTCTTACAGGGTAGTATAGAATAATGAAGAATGAGGATTTTACCGTCAGACATAACCGAGTTCAAATGTTGACTTCACTGCCTTCTCACTGTGTGGCCTTGGGCAAGCTGCTTGACCTTTTCTTAACTTCTGTATCCCCATCTTTAAAATGTTGCTAATCAGTGGCACGTGGCTGGCTCAGTCGGTACAGCATGCAACTCTTGATCTTGGGGTTGTTAGTTTGAACCCCATGTTGGGTACAGAGATTACTTAAAAAAAAAAAAATCTTAAAAAAAAATGTTGCTAGTCATACCCATCTTAAGGCTGTCATAAGGATTACTGCATGGGTAGTGATTAGTATTTATTAGCCAGTAACTCTTATTATTTAGTTAGACAAAAGCTATAAGCAGAGGTTTTTAGGTAATGCAATTCAAATTTAATCAATAAGCAGGTTCTACTGTTTCATGAGCTGGCACAAGAATGCGTGAATATGCCCAGTTTTGATAATAGCAGTGCTTTTTTTTTTTTTTTTTAAGATTTTATTTATTTATTTGACAGAGAGAGCCGAAGAGCACAAGCGGAGGGAATGGCAGAGGAAAGGGAGAAGCAGACTCTGCACTGAGCCGGGAGCCTGACGTGGGGCTTGATCCCGGGACCCTGGGATCATGACCTGAGCCGAAGGCAGATGCTCAACCATCTGAGCCACCCAGGCGCCCCAATAGCAGTGCTTTTTTATTTTCATTTTCTATAAAGTGCTCAAGAAACGCAGGACAGATATCATCATCCCTATTTGTTAGATGAGAAAACTGAGGCTCAGAGAGGTTGATTGTTTGACCCACAGTTGGTGTTTTTTAGGAAATGAGGTTGAATATAAAGTTTAAACACGAGAATGTAGAATCAGATTAAGAAAATGAAGAAAGGAGCCATGCCTGAATCACTGTGGTTCCTCAGTATTACAGGTTAATTATCAAATTCATATACCACACTGACCAGGAGCACAGACACACATAGCAGGGTCTAGAAGTGAACATGCAAACTCTAAACACTTAGAGATGATTTTGAATTGGGGCAGAGCTGGGTGAGGAGGAAGGGGATAGTCCTCTTCTATGGTATCATGTCAGAGTATATCATTTATAACGACAGAAAACAAAACAATTCTATTTGACCAGTGTACTCTCTGCCATACGTATATTATTATAAATTCTCTCTCTTATTATAAATGTCTCTTCATTAAATGAAGAGAATTTTTTTTTTAAAGATTATTTATTTATTTGACACAGAGAGACAGAGCGAGAGAGGGAACACAAGCAGGGGGAGTGGGAGAGGGAGAAGCAGGCCTCCCACCGAGCAGGGAGCCCGATACGGGGCTCGATCCCGGGACCCTGGGATCATGACCCGAGCCGAAGGCAGACGCTTAACGACTGAGCCACCCAGGTGCCCTAAATGAAGAGAATTTAATGGTGTTTTAAAAATATTATGTGTTATAGGCGGGATAGCAGAACCCTGGAATGAAGAGATGGTGGGGGTCTTACTTAGCCCTTATCCTTATGCACCAAGGCAGAACTGAGTGTGCTCAAGGTACATCTCTAACTTTGAGCCCCAGAGTCCAGGAAGATGACTCTCGTTTGCTCCCTTGAGAGCTCAGGCCAGACAGGTCATTTCTAGGACTATGGCGGTTCTTATGTAACTTTTTGGGGGCATTGGTTGTTTTCATGACTCTTTGAACGTTTGCGATAGACGATAGCTTGTTACCAGCCTGCAAACCCTCACTGAGGTCTGTGTGCTAGGCGCCCGGAGATCACCATCGTGGCAGCTGAGCCCCTGAGGCCGGCCTCGTGGTTTCCAGGAGCCCCGCCCCCGGGACTGGGATTTCCCCCTTCTTCGGCAGCAGGCCCTTGGAGGCCCAGTGAGCTGGTTCCTGCTGAGGTAAATAAGTATTACATTATCTCTTTGCATTTTATTTTTAAAAGTGAGTTCAAAGATAAGAAGAGTGAGACTGTTAATACTTTGGCTTTTGTCCATAGAGGTCTAAAATCTTCATTCTTTTATTTTGCAGCTCCCACCATCTTATGAACAAGTCATAAAAGAAATCAACCAAGTTCAAGTTAATACTACGAATAATAATAATGCTGCTGCCACTCCAAGGCACACAATTACGTCTGCAACTCAGACTGACTTTACAGAAGAAATAGACAACCATCTGCCTCAGAGTAGTGCAAGTAATTTGTCCTCCCTAATTCTGACCTAGTTCTAGGGAAGTAATCAGTAGGCTTCTGGCTTTAAAATAATTTGTGACTTGTGCATAATGCATCGAGCTCTTCTTCCCAGTCAGTGTGATCACTATGTGCTTCCTACACTTGATCTTAGCTAAAAGGCCGAGAAGTGATCACTGTGTGCTTCCTTTATTTTGGTTTGCTGTGATTATTACAATAGATCATTCTCATGAGCCGCATCCCCAATCTCGGGGGCTCACCCCAGTTCATATCGCAAAAAAATCATCATTTTAACTCATGGTTGTATTACTGCTGATCCCCTTTATTCCCATTGAGAAGGAGGTTATATTTAGCAACTTAAACTTGACAGAGTGTAATATTAGGCTTTTAAAAAGCATTGTTTTCAAAGAGCAGAGATGAGAGTAAGTTACTTTGGAAAAGTAAAGCAAGCAATGTTGGAATTCTGACGATAGGGAAAGGGTTCATGTGATAAGTCTCCTGGGAATCGAGAATTTAATGGTGTTTTAAAAATATTATGTAATGAATATTTCTCTTACGAATAAATACAACTTGAACACTCCTGTGAGAAGTGGAGTGTAAACATTTCCCCACTGATTTTGGAATTACTTTTTACTAATTAAGGAAACCAAGATCTCTTGATATTCTACGTGTATATTTAAACAGTCTGTGTATCTTGTATTTTTTTTTCTTTTAAATTACAATGTTGCAACTTCTGTCTGTGGGTTTGGGTCTTGTCAGCACTACAGGCACCTCTCAAGCCTCTCCAGCCTTCCCCGGCGGTCGCAGCCAGTGATCTTCCAACAAATGTGGCACCTTTAATCATCTTTGATACTTCAGAAGAACAGAATTGTCCAGAGAACTCCAGTGCTGCAAGATGTCCAGTGCCAAGACCAAGATCAAAAGCCAACCTCAGACCAGTAGCCAGAGACGGTCACATTAAAGAGCCAAATCACCAGAAAACCGGCCCCACGGCCACAGAAAAGGAGTCTTTGCTGAGCCAGCCTCAGTCTTTGTTGGACAGTACCAACGACTTGGAGAGTCAGGCAGTGATGAACATTATGAACACAGAACGAAGCCAAAATAGTGTCGTTTCAAGAATCAAAGCATTTGAGGGTCAGGCTAATAAAGAAACCTCGGGACCGCCGGCAAAACCGGAAATTGCTCCCCGCACACTCCCCCCCAGGCCTGCTATTCCCTCAGGGAAACCCTCAGTGGCTCCCAAGCCGGCTGCCAGCAGAGCTTCTGGAGAGTGGGACTCCTGGACTGAAAACAGACTCAAGGTGGCCCCTAGGGAAGGGCTTACCCCACACTCTCCACTGCAAGTAGGGAGCATCCCAGCAACCAAACCTGAATTGCCAAAGAAACCAAATGCTGGCCTTACACGAAGTGTTAATCATGAGATTCTGGGAGGAGGGCCCGTGGCTGAGAGCCCTGACGGGGGGAAGAAAGTCCCAACTCCTGCTCCTCGGCCTCTGTTGCCGAAGAAATCGGTTTCCTTAGAAAACCCCAACTCTACAGCTCTGCCGAAACCAGTCACTGTTCCTCCCCGACTCTCAGTGGCGTCACAGGCCAAAGCATTCAGGTCACTGGGAGAAGGACCCCCGGCCACCTCCCCAGCTCCAGCCCTGCAAAGCAAGCCTCCAGGGGACATTGACCTCATCAGTTTTGATGATGATGTTTTACCCACACCAGCTGGGAACCTGGTTGAAGAATCTCTTGGTTCAGAGATGGTTCTGGGTGAGTAAAAAGGAGAAGTGGAAGGGAGTGTAAACTCATCAGAGGGCATCTTGAATGGCACTTGCTGTTTTCATTTCTACGACATAATTTCTGGAGGGGTGTGCCTGTGTGTGTATGCACATGCCTGTGTGTGTATAAGACAGAAACACAGAGAGATTAAGAAATAGGGAGCTGGGTAGGAGATAGAGACAGAGAGGGACAGGAAAATCTGGAATGGGGGAAATGGAGACAGAGAAAGATGGAGACATGTATTGATAACGACTACACGAGCCAGAAATAAGCAGACTGGGTCTAGCGACTAAACTAGGTGTGAGGCTGGCTTCCTAATTCTGGCAGGTGGAGAGTCAAGCATCAGGGGAATGCAAGGGAAACTTCTCATAGATGCTAAGTCACACAGTGGCCCCAAAAGGGCTCCTCAGATTGAGCCGGCCTCACTGGGAGTGCCAAGCGAGGCGCCAGCCCCAGGGAGGACTCCGGTGAGAGCAAAGCCAGGAATGAGGACCCAGCCATATGTAGCAAAATTTTTTTCGCTAATCTTCACAGAACATCTTCTCTGGGGAATGCAAAGTTTTATAAATAAAATACAATAGCTGTACATTTCCTGCCAGGATCAGGACAATTAAATTTCTCAAGAGGAAATTCAGAAAGTATGTTTTCTTTCCTCACACTTCTCAGATGGAGGGTATGATAGTAAAACTTATCTTTGATTTGTCAAAGTGAGCTGTTTTACTTGTCATTGATGATTCCTTTTACTGCTGTTTACTTATTTGGGTAGCATTTGTGAACATATAAGCCTAATAGTATTTTCAAAAGGTTAGCTGTCATCTTATAAATGTTCAACATGCATCAAAATGGGATAAGCTCTGTGATTCGAAACCAAATTCTACACAGCACAGGTGTATTTTAAATGATAACAAACATGTTTATTAAATATTTATCATGCATACAACATGTACAGCATACCTCTTGTCTATAAGGGGTAGAAGGACAGACGTTAGAATATACTGAGCTTCTGCAGTATTCCAAACCTTCTGCTAGATACCCAGACCTACATCATTTAATTTAATACTTAGAGTAATCCTCTGCAAAGTATTGTTGGCCTCAGCTTGCAGAAGAAAATGAGACAGAGAAATCAATGGGTAGCTTGCCCAGTGTCGTAACACTAACAGCTTCCAAGGCATGATTCAGACGTCATCTTTTTATTCTAGGTCTAGTGTATTTTTCATTATATTACCTTGCTACCCGACGTTTGTATGAATTCTTAAGCCTGGTAACACTTCAAGTCTTTGTTACGTCATTTTTTAAATTTAAACCTTTTTGGTGTTAACAGGATTCAGGGTGGGGTAGGGATGGTAAATCCAACAACAGCAAGCTGTTAAGGGGTGGAAACAGCACAAGCCAAAGAAATACCGCCTTTTGTAGAAACTGCTGGATTCTATGGAGATGGCAACTTGGTTAATAACTGCTGAGAATTTATTCCCTGTCATCAAACAGATAATTATAGTCATCTTCCAAAAGAAGGTCAACAGTATACATTCAACATGAATATAGTCTCAAGCCTCATACTCAGCCTTTTCTGTTCCTTGATTTCTACCACCTCGTTGCATGATATTTAATTATGTAGGCTGTCTCTTAGCAAAATGTGTAATTTACTTGCCCTACCAGACTTTAACCATTGCTCTCGACTGTGGAATTACACTGAACGCTTACTTAGTCATCTTTCTAAACCTGCTCCTCTTCCTGTTTTCTGCACCTCACTTAATAATGCCATCATATACCCAGCCTTCCTTAGAGAATCCTGGAGATCATCTTCGAGTCTTCTACATGTCACACCGTGGCTGTTTGTTTAGACTTGGAGATAGGCCTGCCTACCACTTAATTGCTATGTGACTTTGGGCAATTTACCCCACTGTGCCTCAATTTCCTCATCTATAAAACATGGTAATAATACTACTCATGGAGGCAGTACGAGGATTAATGTGATTATGCAGGAAGGCCCTGTCCCATTGTCTGAAACATGGTAAGTGCTCATTAAGTAGTAATTATTGTTACTTCTTGCCCTTCACACGCAATTAGATACCAACACGCACACACCTATTACAACTCTAAGTAGTTCTTGAGTCCTCCTTTCATTTCTGTACCCCTGTACTGCCCCACGTTAGGCCTTTTTGCCAGGTTACTGCAGTGGTTCCTAAATTGAGCCCCAACTTCTGCCTCAAACCCATCATCCTCCATATTATGGCTACCCAAGGGATTTTTCTAGAGTGTACGTTGGACCTTGTTGCTGCCCTGCTTAATGTCCTCCAGAGGCCTTTAGGATCACCTCTGAATTCCTCAGCATGTAGAGAGATTTTTGTTTGTTTATTGATTTGGGGCTTTGTGACTTTTTGATGGTGTATCAATAGCATTGCCTTTGTAAACAAAGGATCATGGTCTCTTTGTGAAACCTTACGATTAAGTAAGATGATTAAATCCTGGCATTAGTCAGAAACTGAGAGAGGGACACAAGAGAAAGGAGAGGAACTCATAAATATGTCTTCCCTCCTTTTCCTTCCCTCAAAAAGAAAGAAAATCTAATAAAGCAGTTTTCATAAAATGAAGTTTCCATATTAATCTCAGGAAATAGAGATCAGAAAATACTGAAGCTGTGAAAACATTGTAAAGATTAGAAAAATTATTAAAGGAAAACTCATAAAACAAGCAATTTAATATTGGATTCATTTCTTGGGTAGAATGCCTTCCAGGTTAATGTAAATGGAGCTGAGAAGTATTGGCAATTCCTCTTTACACCTTTACAAATCATACCCAGTTGTCAAAAAAAAAAAAAAAGGCAGAATGCCTCTGCTGTCAGCCCCATTACACAGACCAGAATAATAGTTTAGCAGCCAATTTCTGCTATTAACAGAACTCAAGGGAAAGAAATGACAGAAAAACAAGCCAAGGCTGGTGAAACTAATTATGATGACAAGCATATTATGAGAGACAGGTAATGGGCAGAAAACTACATTACCATCAGTGTTTTTCTCAGCCCAGTAATGAAGACCATGTGGACGGAGGTGTAAAAGGGGCTGTTTGTTTGGCAGCAGGTGTGGAATCATTGGTTTGGTGTGAGGGGCTAGAAGGAGGGCAGAATAACTACGGCAAATAAAGGTAGAGAAAAATGCCATGGATGTTCCTTAGATTTGGATAGGAGATTTTTTTTTTGTTTTTTTGAGATGCTTTGTGTTTTATCTGTAGAAACAAGACCAAACTCTGTGATAGAGTCATGGCACTGTGGTTCTTTTTTAAAGATTTTATTCATTTATTTGACAGAGACCGCCAGAGCAGGAACACAAGCAGGGGGAGTGGGAGAGGGAGAAGCAGGCTTCCCGCCGAGCAGGGAGCCCGATGTAGGGCTCGATCCCAGGACCCCGGGATCATGACCTGAGCCAAAGGTAGAGGCTTACAACTGAGCCACCCAGGCGCCCCTGGCAATGTGGTTCTTAACCCCTTCTGGGAATCACAGAACTCTGAGAATCTGATTATCCTGCGAATCTTTTACCTCTCTTTAAAACAGCCCTTTAGCTCATGTATGCACAATTGCCAGAGCTTCAAGGGCCCATTCTTGGACCCCAAATGAAGGACTTCTCCTACAGAATATTGCAATAACCTCCAGGGGACTGCTTAAATAAATAATGGGACATCTGCACAGGGGACGATTGTGTGCTAATTAAAAAGGAGGCACACCCCCTATTACTTCCTACTATGGACCAATCCCCGAGATATTATTAGGTGAAAAACGCAAGGTATAGTTAGTACTCATGATACTTTAGCTACTGTTTATGTTAACACACAAACGCACACGCACACACCTACGTAGTATCTTTGGAAAGATGTATAAAAAGCCAGTAACAGAGGATTTCTTTATGAGGGAACTGGTTTGGCAGAAGAGGATGGGGAACCTGGTTTTGAAATCGCTAACCATAAGGAGAATTAGGATGAAAAATGGGGGGAGTTAGCTCTTGTCATCTTTACCACAGAGAGAGATCACACTGATCCTCAGTCTTTGTGATGAGTAGGAATTTTAAAAATAATAGCATATGATTTTTCTAAATTGCTGTTATTCAAGATTATAAATAAAAGCTAATTATTTTGAACTACATATGTGTAAATAAGACATTCAAAAACATGTGCATTAAATCCTATTAAATAGAATCAAAAAAGAGTTATTTTTCTAGTTACCTTATAGAAAATTTTATGACCATTATTGCTTTTAAAAAGCAACTAAAAGGACTAAACTTTTCTCCCCCCCCCCCCCTTATTTTTAAGTGGTTTTTGGTTTGGTTTGCTTGGCAGGGGAGTTATTTCTCAGCTTCATCTTGTTAACTTTTCTTCTTGTGGTTGAATCTATTTTATTGGATTTTTTTCAGTTACAAAGTAACACGTTTGCTGTAACAAGTCAAACAATACAAACATTTAGTAAAAGAAAAAAAATTATCTCCCTCTAGTCCATCCACATCTCAAGAGTAACCAGTGTGAACAGTGTTGTATGTAGCCTTCCATGCCGTTGAACATTTCAAACCCAAGCTTACAAACATAGATACATGTATGTTTTCCTACTTTTTACAAATATTTTTATTATACTATACCCTTGTTGTTGTTGTTGTTGTTGTTGTTTTATTTAACAGGGAGATTTATGGACTTCTTTTTGGTCCAGTCGGTCTAAGTCAAGGAGTTAACTCCTTGTTTCCTGGTATCTGTCTAGTATTTCTTAGTGTGAGTGTATCACAGTTGATTCAACATTTCCCCTCTCCATGGACATTACTTTTAATTTTTTGGATTTCTTTTTCTTCTACAGAAAATGCTGTAGTAAACACTCTCATAAACATTGCCATTTCTACTAGTGCTCTTATTTCTGAAGAATAAATTTCGAGAAGTGAGACTACTGGGTCAAAGTTTATGAACTTGGAATATTTTCATAGTACCAGTGATCCAGATTCCTGCGGGGCAGTGCCTGGAGTTCCCAAACATGAGATGCTATTCTTGCTTTATATGTTGCCCACTTTCTTCTGTGAGACAAAATACCTTGCTCATGAACAGACATAAAAAGTAAACTTCATATTGTGTAGCTAAAGAGATTTGCACACCATCATCAAGATGAAAAAACAGGCCTCCGGTTCCACCTTCTTATTGAAGTGATGCTCTGTGTCCTCCCCACTAATCTGCCCACCTCGTCTGGATTAGAGCCCCGGACGGCACGCAGACAGAGAGGCAGATGCTGAGCTCACTGACTCAGTGAGCACAGCTGAGGCAGGTCATTAAATAGACCCACTCCTGCCAAACAGCCCGCCGTACTAGAACACTAAAACTTTCCTTGCTTCACTGTATTGAGAAAGAACATTTTTTCCCCAGAGATGTGTAGTAGAATAATTTTACACGATCTGAGTACCAATTATTAAAGAGTAGCTAATGATATTAAAAATAAAGACCGAGAAAGAGTGGGTAACTAAGACACTCTGAATACTTTGTTACATAAATTGTATCTATACCACTTCAATTTAAATCCTTTAGGTTTAAAAATAATAATTACTGGACCCTTCCATGCAGTAGGTGAGGTTTGCACAGTGTGCAGGATTTGGAGCAGGTGTCTTGAGGCCAGTCCTCCAACAGCAAGGATAATTTGGATGCCCCTGTGCTTGGCCCCTCAAGGCATCAATTGGTGTCTTTTCTCCTTTCCCTGCCCCCCTTATTCATGCCCTCCCTCCTGGAATGTGAGAGAGTGTAGGTGGCATTCTGGCTCAGAATATAATATGAGTTGGGAAATAATTGAAGTCATCCCATGCTCAAGATTTTCTTCCCCCTCCACAACCACCCAGAAAAACATCAACTAGAAGCCTATACTAATAACCAAAAGATTATAGGTAGCAGAAGCAGCTATTAAAGCAGAAATGCCACTTGTAAGGTAGAACACGGTGAACAGTCACCAGCCTTAATCCTTTTCTTGAATTTTTGGTCCTTTTCCTGACAGAAAACAGAGTCCCGAAAGAATGGGATGCGACAGCCAAGATTGGCGGGGAGGGAGGACAGTCCAGTCTCTGCCTCAGCTGGGGGGAAGGAAGTTTGGTCCTTGGAAGTAGGTGGGTTCCAACAAGGAGGCAGAGCAAAGGCAGTAGGAGGGAGAGAAGAATAGAAAGGAAAGATAAACACAAAAGAAAGATACTGTGTTTCTGTGTTTGAATAAAATGCGTGCCAGGATTACATAAGGTCCTCAAATTCACTTTAGCTAGTATCATTCAGAATAGATGATTCAGGGAATTCACAGGCAGGTAATATTTGCAGTAATGGGCTTTAAAACAAGTGTACATACCCCTTTTTATCCATTGGCACTGCTGCTTCCCAGAGACCAGGTGCATATTATTCAAGTTGGAAGAACTATTAGAATGTGTAAAATCCAGCTGTTGGAAAGATGGTCATGGAGAGCTCCCCTCCCTCACCCCTGCACTCTTGTTTTATGCTGCAACCTTCCATTCTCCCCACACCTAGAAGTCTCTCACCATGCTTTACTTTTTCCTTTTTCAGTAGTACTTCTCACGTGATATACCAGATGAGCTACTTACTATTATATTTACTGTTTATTATCTCCATCTCCCTGCTGGAATGTATGTGCCGTGAGAGCGGGGTTCTTTGCTTTGTTCACTGAAGTATTCCCAGCACCTAGAGTAGTATTTGATTTGTAGCAGACATCCAATCAATTTTGAGTGAACAAAAGTGAAAAAGCAAATTACAAGGCAAGATATAAAATCATGTTTTTCTTGTTTATCAAAATATCTACGTAATAATACATATAGTAGCATAAAAAATATGTAGGCAGATACACCAAATTTTCATTATTACTGGAGGGATGGGATTACAGGAGACTTTCCATCATGGATTTCTTAATGTTTCCCATTTTTATAATAAATACTACTTTTGAAGTAAGAAATGCTATAACAAAATACAGAATTTTAAAATTTAGTTAGCTCTAAAAGAAGGAACTTTGTGTTTTGTGAGGACGTAGGTTACAGTGGAAGAAGGTTATAGTATTACAAGAGCCTTTTTTTCAAGTTTGATACTGTTTTGATAATCCTGAGTTGGTTTTTTGAACTTAGACAAGACTTGCCTCCCTTGTGAGCTAATAGACAGGTTTCCATAAAAGAGTCATCTAATATACTTTTTTTTCTCAGTAGCCTAGTAATAATTGTTTTACCTGGCACACCACCTGAGGGCCATTCCTAGGTCGTAGATAATAAAATGGGATCGTACTTTACCATGGTTATCTCCCCACCTGGCACTGTTCCTGGCACATGGTGGACATACACATGTGAGCAAATGGCTCGTGAGTGAGTGATGATGCCTTTGGTGGCATGGATAATGGTAGGGTTGCCTGGGAGCTGGGGGGGGAAGGGAAGGTCAGGTAGCAGGGGGCTGAATGGTCTTCTTATCCTTAGCTCAGCTCTTCGTGTGTCCTGAAAACAGCTGGTCAGCAAAAGGTGCTTCTCAAACTACAGCTTATAATCGGCAGAATATGAATGCTGTTCATCACAGGAGCTATGGTGTGTGTATGTTGTTTTTACAGGGAGTATCTCCCTATAGTGAAGAGTCTATAGAACAGGTGCAGAATTACAGCATATACTCATTCTGCCTCTTACAGAATTAAGGGCAAAGGAGGCCTCAAGAGAGCCTGTGTGCTGCATAGAGTATCCATTATACAGCATTTATTTTATTTTTGCTAATCTATTTATTTTTAGATTTCTCATCTTTGGGAAAATGACCATTTCCCAAAATACTGAAAAGAATATTTACATTAAAGAAAAAGGAAAGACTATTTCTTTCAGTAAAAAAACAAGTTTGGTATTTATGTCTTTGTTTAAAAATACTTTCTCTGAGCATATATTGTCAATTTTAAATGAATCCGTTAAGATGGAGAAATGCCAAGCCGGTGTCCTTGCCCCTAAATTAAATATTTGAAGGAAGATGTCTTATTTCATTTCCAGGATAAAACACTTTCCATTTTCATGTTAACTGAAGTGTGGTTTTACTAAAGCGACTGACGCTCAGGCACGGTGCTGGGTAGGATGGGGGCTCTTGGTGAGCCTTATGGATCAGTTTTCTGGGCCAGGCACAGGAGTGTGGGGGAGAAAAGACCTTTTCTGGGGGATCTGTGAGGCCTCACAACAGGGGGGAAATTGGCTCCTCGTTTCAATTGCCCCTCATTTTCAGGCGACACTTACGAAATGATTTTACTCCCATGAAAGATAGCTTCTACATAATTCTAGATTGTCCTGGATATCTCTCATCAGAGAGGAAAAAAAGCCACATGAATTATTTACAGAGCACCAAGTTATTTCCTTTCATGAGCTCCGACTTTGTTTTTGTCTCTGCAAACTGAGATTTTGTTTATCCATGAATAGTTTTCCCTGGGGCATGAAAATATGACTCTTTAATTATGAATGAGGTTTTTTGTTTGAGTCCATGTTAACTAAGACATGCAAAATAAACTGTGTTTTTCATTAGATCCCTTTCAGCTCCCCATAAAAACAGAACCAACAAAAGAAAGAGCAGTTCAACCAGCACCCACCAGGAAGCCCACTGTGATTCGAATTCCAGCCAAACCAGGAAAATGTAAGCATTAATCAGCCTTCTTTCTTTGCTTTTCCAAGAGCCTGGGAGAAATATCTATTTATTTGTCAATGTCTGCTTTTGAAATTATGTGTGATTGGCCATTTGTTATTTATAGTCAAAGGAGATTTAAAAAACAAGTTCTTGGGGCTCCTGGGTAGCTCAGTCGCTAAACGTCTGCCTTCGGCTCAGGTCATGATCCCAGGGTCCTGGGATCGAGCCCCGCATTGGGCTCCCTGCTTGGCAGGAAGCTTGCTTCTCCCTCTCCCACTCCCCCTGCTTGTGTTCCGTCTCTCGCTGTGTCTCTCTCTGTCAAATAAATAAATAAAATCTTTAAAAAAAAAAAACAAGTTCTTTTTTCACAGTTCTTTAGACAATTGGTACAGTAAATGTGGATTTCGTTTGTCTATACCACTGTCTCTAGGTAGAGAGAATAGAGGGAGACTGAAACTTAGAACAGTTGTAGTATCTGGTTAGTGTTTCGGGTAAAGATGGTGGGAAAGTACAGTTGACCCTTGAACAACACAGGTATGAATTGTGTGGGTCCACTTATACACAGATATTTTTTACAGTATGGTACTATAAATGTATTATCTTTATGGTTTTCTTAGTAGTTAAGTTTTGGGAGAGTCAGAAGTTACATGTGGATTTTTGGCTGCGCCAGGGTGTCAGCACCTCTAACTCCCACGTCGTTCAGATGTCAACTCTGAGTGAAACTGATAGCAAATAAAGTTGTGTCTGTCTGGATACAGCATAATCTAAGTATGTATGAATTGCGTGAAGAGCAGTAACCAAGAGTTATAAAAACGTAATAATGTATAAAATTTTTTAAAATCAGTGTAACACTCCATTTTGATATTATTTCCTGACTTGATTTTTTTAATGGTACAATAAATGAAATTTTGTATGAGTTTTTATAAGGACTGCAAAGAAATCTGATATTATTGTAAGACAGAAGCCAAGAGGGCCAGTCCCATTTATTTTAGACCCTGAAGATTGTTAAAAGGTATGTGTAAAACTGTGTGTACGTGTGCACACACATGCTTGTATGGTGGGTTCCAAATCCATTCCTAGCATTGCTCGGAGTGACCACACAGCTTTTGCCATGAGCTTCTGCTATCATTTCATTTCATTCAGTGCCTTTGCATAGTCCAGATGCATCCTTGCCTTTATGTAACAGGAGAACCTCTCACTCCGTTCCCCCTATTAGCAGATCAAGTGTCCCAGTCCTTCACCTGCCTATAGCATCCCCAGGTTATTTTGCAGGCATACCTTGGAATGCCATGAAACCCCTTTCGTTCAGGGGTTTGGTTATTATATAAAAAACTACCCAGAGCGATCATACTGGTTTTGGTCTTTTGAGTGTTTTGTTATTAACTGATGGCTCTAAGCCACATGGTGAGAAGATTAAACTGAGTTACTATGAAGAATGAGGAGAAAAAGTCAAGGGTACCAAATTCTGGTGGGTTCTCGCTTCTTAGGAGGTTATATGGTATATTAAAGAACTGGTGGTATATTTCTTTTGACACAGTGGGCTATATAAGTATCACAGATGATAGTTCATTGGGTTGTTTGCCTGCTTGCTGTTACCTTGTTAAAATGTATTCTGGATTTTAACAGGCATAGTGAAATATGATGATAATAAATATTGCCCGAAGCTCATGTAGGTTTTAAGTAATAAAATTTTTACTTTTAAATTTATTCTCCTGTTGTATCAGGGTCCCCAAGACCCCCGGGTTTGATGATCCCTAGGAGGACTGGCAGGACTTAGCATTTAGTTATGTTCACAGCTGTGATTTATTACAGCAGAAGTATACAAAACAAAATCAGCAATAGGAAACGGTGCATCGGGCAAAGTCAGGAGGAATCCTGGCACAGGCTTCTGGTGTTCTCTCCCAGGGAATCACAAAAGCTATACTTAACTCCCCCAGGAACCAGTTGTGACAACACAGGTGAAATGTCAACCAACGAAGCTCATTAGACACTCAATACCCAGGGTTTTTATTAGGGATTGGTCACATAGGCACCTCTTGGAATTTTGGCACGTTCCAAAATTTCAGATTCGCAGAAGGAAAGCAGATATTCAGCATAAACCAAATTCTTTCATTTTATGAGCTCTGGGGATGGTGGGAACCTTCCCAAAGTCCCAATTTCCCAGATGCCAGAAAGGACCCACCCTTGAAGCAGGCCTTTCTAAGCATAAGCAGCCTCAGGCCTGCTAATGTTTATTCTTGTCTGCATACTTATAAATTGGATTAATAGTCCTGGAATCCTGTAAAGGATATATTGAGGAAGCACCTTTATTTATTACTCTGACAGAGTTCTGGGAACTGTTAGAAAGTTGGATTCTAACTGCTGTATGTGAAAGAACTGAAATGTCAGTTTCTAGAGCATTATTTCTATTTATATCAAAAACCAGTTCCCTAGCACTGTATTATTACAGTTATTAAGCAATTCATACGTGCTGTGGAGGAGGAAAAAGTTCCTCGGTGTTGGAAGAACTTGGAACGGTCAGGTGAAGAAAGGAATAGCTTTGTGGTGCAAAACTCCTTCGTCTTCTGTGAGCCTGTCAGTTCTTTCCCCTTGAGACTTGTTTCTTCTGACTAGGATGTCCTTTTCCCAGATAGGTGCATGGCTCCCTCCTTCACCATTCCTTCAAGTCTTAGCTCAAATGCCACTTTTCTCATTGAGACCTCCACTGACCACATGCTTTGCAATTGGAAATCTCCACCTATCCCACACGCTCATAATTGATAGTCCCTGTGTCCCATCCTGCCAGTAAGGTATTTCCTCTTTACTTTCATATTATTACTACTTTGTACCCTTGTTTGTCACAGCAGTGCAGTATCCTAAGTGATATATCATTTCCTTATAAGAATATGAAAACTGTGGGCGCCTGGGTGGCTCAGTCGTTAAGCGGCTGCCCTCGGCTCAGGTCATGGTCCCAGAGTCCTGGGATCGAGTCCCACATCAGGCTCCCTGCTCAGCGGGAAGCCTGCTTCTCCCTCTCCCACTCCCCCTGCTTGTGTTCCTGCTCTCACTGTGTCTCTCTCTGTCAAATAAATAAAATCTTTAAAAAAAAAAAAATACGAAAACTGGGGGCTCCTGGGTGGCTCATTCGTTAAGCATCTGCCTTGGCTCAGGTCATGATCCCAGGGTCCTGGGATCGAGCCCCGCATCGGGCTCCCTGCTCAGCAGGAAATCTGCTTCTCCCTCTCCCACTCCCCCCTCTCATGTGCGCACACGCTCTCTCTCTCAAATAAATAAAATCTTTAAAAAAAAAAAAAAAAGAAAGAAAAGAAAACTACCAGAGTGAGAGTCTTCAAGATGGCAACTGAGTTGAAATGTTCCTGTGTGTCTTCGTTTCCAGAGCAGCTCTGCCTCTTGCTAAGAATGCTTGCCTGTCTCTACATCGTTGTTTTCCTAGTAGCTGGTCTGGGTATTTTCCTCCCTTAGAGAGTGTTTTCCTGCTTGTAGATAATATAGGAACCTGACAAATCATCCTCTGGTTTATAGGTGTTTCATGTGAAATGAGAGCAGAGAGTGTTCCTTTGAAAGAATGAAAAAAAATCCCATCTCCTTTAAGTGTCTAAATCTGTGTAAAAGGTGGCTTTCACCTCCTTTAGTATCTTTTTTTTAAAAGATTTTATTTATTTATTTGAGAGAGAAAGAGAGAATGAGAGCTAGAGAGCACGAGAGGGAAGAGGGTCAGAGGGAGAAGCAGACTCCCTGCCGAGCAGGGAGCCCGATGTGGGACTCGATCCCGGGCCTCCAGGATCATGACCTGAGCTGAAGGCAGTCGCTTAACCAACTGAGCCACCCAGGTGCCCTCCTCCTTTACTATCTTATAGTCCTCCTCTCTCCAAGTGTTTTTGCATACAGATTTTAATTAGCTGTCACTAATGAAATCCGATCTTTTTCTTCTTTTTAAAATATGTTGGGGGGTGTGGGGCGCCTGGGTGGCCCAGTTGGTTAAGCGACTGCTTTCGGCTCAGGTCATGATCCCGAGTCCCGGGATCGAGTCCCGCATCCGGCTCCCTGCTCAGCGAGGAGCCTGCTTCTCCCTCTGACCCTCTCCCCTCTCATGCTGTTTCTCTCTCTCTCTCTCTCTCTCTCTCTCTCGGTCTCAAATAAATAATAAAATCTTTAAAAGAATAAAATATGGTAGCAGGGTATACTATCACTGAGTTTTGGATGTAAAGATACTGTTTGTTAAAATGAAGGCAGTTAAGTCCATTATTTGGAACTAATGAATTAGAAAACACATTTAATTATTTGGATGGAGGAAGTCCGGATACGCAGCTTATTAGGAAGCACCATGCCGTAGTATAGTGAGCACAGGCTCTAGGGTTCAGAACTCTGGATCTGATGATTACTAGCCTTAAGACCTTGAATAGCTTATTTATTTTCTTCTCAGCTTTGGCTTCTTCATCTGTAAAATAGGTAAGTTATTATCTATCATAGTGCTGTCCAATAGGACTTTCTGCAAAGATGGAAATGTTCCATAACGGTGCTGTCTATTATGGTAACCGTTAGCCAAATGTGGCTACTGAGCACTTGAAATGTAGCTTGTGCAGCTGAGGAACTGAGTTTTTAATTTTGTTTAAGATTTAAGTTTAAATCACCACATGTGACGACTGGTTAGTGAACTGTGCAGATCTAGCACATAGACATCAGTTGGAGAAATGTATATAAACAAAATGCCTTCACTTAGTGCCTGGTGCGTTGAAGGTTCTCAAAAATGCTAGCTGCTGTTGTATTTATTTAGTATTATTTTTACTCTATACAACATTTAGTGAAACTAACTGATGTATCCTAACCCATCAGTTTTCTGAGGTTTCCTAGCTCTTTCTCATTTACTTAGCTGTCCATTCTTTGTGTGGATCTCTTGTGATAGCCTTTTTCCTGAGGAACCAAGCTGGAATCATTTCATCTTTGAGAATCCCCAAAGGCCAGAAATTATTGATGAATTACTGCTGTTTTTCCAGGTTTACATGAGGATCCACAAAGCCCACCTCCTCTCCCTACTGAAAAACCTATTGGAAACACTTACAGTACGGTATCTGGAAAACTCAGTTCTGTTGACAGAACTAGAAACTTGGTAAGTGGTCCTTATAAATTGTCTTAGATCGAAGACCAAGCTATGCGCTAATTTTAAATTTATGATGTCTGAATTATTTTACTATTGGTCACATAAAGACCTTTATTGCAAACCAGTTCTAAGCCCCACGTACTTATTTAATGTGATGTTCAATCTTTTTTAAGTTCCTGTAGAACAAAAGAATTAGGCCAGTTCATTGTACTTCATCATAAAATTGTCCTATACTGATATAATGACATTGCCTTAAATGGCACTAATAATGAGGAAGTTATTGAAAATCTCTAAAAACCTTTAATATTTGTGGAAGTAGACTTAGTCATCAGTTTTTATTTAAAATACCCAACTAGTGACATAATTTTTTTTTAATTTTTTATTGTTGTGTTAATCACCATACATTACGTCATTAGTTTTTGATGTAGTGTTCCATGATTCATTGTTTGTGCATAACACCCAGTGCTCCACGCAGAATGTGCCCTCTTTAATACCCATCACCAGGCTAATCCATCCCCCCACCCCCCCTCCCCTCCTAGTGACATAATTTTAAGATAATTACCATGAGAATTTGTTCATCTGCAATTTAAGGAAAAATTATTTTTTTGATTAAAAAATAGTACTTCACCATGGACTTGTTAACAAAGGTAGTCAACAAGTTTTAAATATATATATATATATATTTTTTTTTTTTTCCAACCTCAATACCATTTCCCCATACTGTTTGTAATTCCCATATGCTAGATTATCTTTTAAGGTTTGTTTCAAAAGAGACAAGTTCCTTAACAAGTGTTGTCAAGGATGTGGGGAAAAGATAACACTCTTGCACTGTTGGTGGGCATGTAAATTTGTGCAGCCACTGTGGAAAACAGTGTAGAGGTTCCTCAAAAATTTAGGAACATAGGAGGGTGCTAGGCTGCAGACTGCCTCGTATCCCCTGGACACCCTCACATGGTTTTTCTGTGTTATTTCATAAGACTCTTTGAAGTCCAATAAAGCATGTAGGAGATTTAAAAAAAAAAAAAAAATTTAGGAACAGAACTACCATATGATCCAGCAATTTCACTTCTAGGTACTTACTTAAAAAAAAGTGAAAACACTAATTCAAAAAGATGTATACACCCCTGTATTCATCACAGCATTGTTTGTAGTAGCCAAGATAAGGAAGCAATCTAAGTGTCGATCAGTAGATGAATGGGTAAAGAAGATGTGCTATATATGTATAATGAAATGTTACTCAGCCACAAAAAAAGATGAAATCTTGCCATTTATGACAACATGGATGAACCTAGAAGGTGCTAAGCTAAGTGAAATAAGTCAGGCAGCGAAAGACAAGTGTATTGTATGACTTCACTTATATGGGGGATCTAAAAAGCAAAACAAACAACAAAATAGACACAGACTCATAGGTACAGAGGACAAATGATGATGGTTGCCAGAGGGGAGGTGGCAGGGTGGGGGCATGGGATGGATGAAATAGGTGGAAGAGAATTAAGAGGTACAATCTTCCAGTTATAAAATAAATAAGATATGGGGGCGTAGTATGCAGCATTGGGAATATGGTCAATAATAGTGTAACAAGTTTGTATGGCAACACATGGTAATTGGACTTACTGTAATGCCCATTTTGTAATGTATATAAATACTAAATCATTATGTTGTACACCTGAAACTAATACAATATTATATATTAATTATTCAATAAAAATTTTAAAAAAGCAAAATTAAAAATTTTTTAAAGGAACGAATTCTTAATGTCTTTGAACCAAATTTTCAGTTCAAATTTCATAATAGTTTTACACTGTGCATTAACTATGCTTATTATACATGCAAACCCATCTAACCATCTAGTGAAAAGATATTTCTTTGAAGGAGACATTAAATTAAATTAGCCAATATCAAGTTAATGAGATTTTCCTGTAGGCTGAACTAAAATTTAGTGATCATTTGCATTTCCAAAGTACTTGGTAATAAATTTTTATTAAAACTGGGCCAAGAAAGCCCAAAAGGGGATGATTGGGTCCCTACAATACTGTTGCTGAATAGGAGAAAATCCCAAATTTCCATGGAGGAAAATTTACTTGAGAAGGTTACTGGCTTCTACTCTAAAGGGTTGTAAAGGAGAGTGAGAGGGTGATGAGCAGGCATATATATCATTCATGAAGTCACGTAATGGGCTTTTGTAAACCATAAAGCTCTATTAAAATATTAGGTATTATTACATTTGGTGTTAAGCAGACCACAAAGCGACTCCCACATTTTAGAAAAACAAGAAAAGGAAGTTAGAATAAACTAAACCATTTGGAGGGGTACTATCATCATAATTGTACCTCACAGGAACAGGAAAATCCTGTCGTACACTGTTTATGAAGGAGGGCCAAAGCATTCTGTGCTGTACTATAGAGACATACTGAGTCTAAAATAGAGCAAGAGGAGATAAGAAACAGACCACAAGTGAAATGAGTTGGCTAAAGTCATACATACAGATTTCTAGGGCCAGGAAGTCAAATCTATGCCTGAGAAATTCCTTTTCTTTGAGAATTACAATTACTGAATGAACAGTAGACCAGAGACCATAAAGCTTTCAGGTATCGGGGAGGATCTCTAGGAAGACTATTTCACCAGTGTAATTACCCATGCGGATAGGCCTGGTCTTTGCCAACTGTGTCTTCTGATGAGACACACAGGATGAAAACTCTACTATTTCTCCTGCCTTGAGAGCCAGGGAACTTTCCATCTTAGGACAAGATGACTGTGTTACAAAATCTCACAAGGGACTCTAGGGCAAGGAACATTAGGAGCCCCTGGCACAGGAGCAGATGCTTCCGTGTCCCCTGTTCTCACCGTGGGAACTTGGGGCTTCCAGATCTTCTCTCAAGGAGGCTGCCAGCCAGTGCAGGAGGAGAGTCAGGAAATACCACCTGGTATGTATAAGGAATCTGATGCTGGCCATTGAACCCAGGACCTAAGAAGTGGTACCAGTTCCTAGGGAAAGAAGAGAAGGAACATTTGTGGAGGCTGCTCAGTAATTCCAACAGACAAGAATACCTCCTGTCTTTGAAGTTCAGCAAAAACCTGGGGAATTATTTTGAAGTTGGAGTGTAAGAAGCCGTTCCAAAGCAGATGAACAAAAATATGGCACCTGCAGGGGACAGTACACGCAGAAAGACCAACTTCGCCAAGAACTAAAATGCCTATCCAAACACATCAAAAGCCGAAGTTCAGAGATGTCAGAGCTAAAGACAAACTGCAAAAAGCAGATGCAGAGAGGCTCCAGTTAGGTGTGGAATATTAAAGAGGAGGAAATCCCTAATTAGTAATCTTTCAAAGACTGTTGGCAGAACCCGGGCATAAAGCTGGACTTTAGCAGATAGTGGCCTCCTTGGGAGCCAGTCCTCTCTTCTCAGTATTTACGTGTGCGGGACACAGCAGTGCCTTCTACAGTGGCCCTGACGTTCCTGGGCGGTGGGAGGGCTCCACCGCCCCCCTCTTTTTTTTCCTGAATTAAAATTTTCTCATTTAGAAAACTTGAGAAACTAAAAAGATGCTTAAGATCCTGCATAAAAATAACACCATTGAGAGAAAACTACAGCTAGTATTTGACACAAGATTAGGATTCTCTGGTGTGTAGTTATTAAAGTACATCACCTATAACTTTGTTAAATTTCTACATCTTTATTTTTTTAGTTTGCCCTTAATTATTAAGTTATCTAACAACTGTAATTTTGAGAAAACCAGTAAGAGTTCTTGCCTATCTGCTAGATTGTTTTTCTTTGTTAATCTTAAAGATGGCCAAAGATGTGAGTTTTTCAAAATCATAGCAGTATTTGTCAGTGAGGGGGAAATATGGGCAGCAGTGTATTTAGAAGGCATGGATTAGACTATGGAATATTGCAGGGTTTATGCGCTGGTGACTCGCCTCACTACATTAACTGAACTCATTAGTGACACCAAGTTTTAAGGGCAAGCTTAATTTGTTTTTAAAAATGGGATTTTGAAACATACTTAAATGATCGCAGTTACTGGCAATTAATCATTCGGTATTTAAGGGAAAGTTAATATTCAGTTTGAATTAAAGCACCATGGAAGTGAGTTTTAACTCATTCATAAGGTGAGAAGGAGGAAAACAGTCTAAATTAGCCCAAAGAACCCCAAGCGACAGTTCAGTCTTCCTTACAAAAAAAGGCAGTGTAATTTTAAAGGGCTAGCATTTTTTCCTATGTATTATACTCATTTCCCAATTCTTGGGCTACACCATGTTTGAAGAACCCTTTGAAACAGCACAGTTTGAATCCTTTACCCTAAAGAAATCTTCCTGTTGTTCTCCACACTTCCAATTTTTCCCTTCTGCTGTTAGGCTCATAGACTCCTGCTCTACCTATCTTTTCTTTTTTGAGTTCTCCTCCTTTACCTTTTCTGCTTTCTTGGACCTTTTTCTGTTCCTCTTCACATACCTTCCTTTCAGGCCATCCTTTAAGCTCCTTTTATGTTCTGCCTCCTCCTAGTTCAAAAGCCACTGCACAAAGTATAAGCCACCTGGTGATGAGAGATCTGCCTGTTTGGGAAGCAAAACAAACTAATCACCACCTCACTTACTATATGTTTAAACTGAGGAGCAGTGCATATCTTACGTGTTGTCATGGGATAAATAAAGGCCATGTATTTTTTTTAATTCCCCACAGTGCATGCTTAAATTGCTACTGTGTATGATTTCAGCAGCATCCTTCATACCTTGTGAATCTGCTGGGTGCATAACCACGTGGTACCCTCGGGTAGGCTACGGTCCACAGCAGCAGACCCCCTGCTCTCCTCTCTGGTTTCACTTACATTAGGACTTGAAAACTTAGGTAGGAAGAAATAATGAGTTAATATTGCTTAAGACAAAAAACTCTTAAGCTACTTTCTGTAACTCAGCTACATTTCCCCGTAGAGATATAGCCAAAAAGTTGTCCATAATTCCTCTTGACAAGCTCCTGTTTCAGATTAACCTTAACTAAAGAGCATTCTCTGGTAATTGTAGGAATCTGATCACACGGGTCAAACAGGAGGTTCTGTGCGAGGACCCCCAAGGTTGCCACCAAGGTAAGTGAAGTGTGGGAAAACTTTTAAAAAAGTAAAGCGCTGCCTGGCTGGCTCAGTCAGAAGAGCATACGGCTTTTGATCTCAGGGTCGTGAGTTCGAGCCCCACATTGAGTGCAGAGAGTACTAAAAAAATAAACTTTTAAAAAAAGGGTAAATTAGATAAAAACTAATGATTCAGAGACTGGACTCTCTTTTCTATCATCAAAACTGAGTATTGGGGCGCCTGGGTGGCTCACTTGGTTAAGTATCTGCCTTCGGCTCAGGTCATGATCTTGAGGTCCTGGGATCAAGGCCCGCATGAGGCTCAATCTCTCTCTCTCTCTCTCTCTCTCTAATAAGTAAAATCTTTAAAAACAAAACAAACTAAACAAAACTGAGTGTTTTGGGTCTTAGATATTTTGGAGATGCATTGAGCTCACAAATTCACCCAGACCACTAGCCTCTAGTCTGCTTCCCATGGCAGGTTGTAGGAATCTCCGCCCCTTCTTTCTTTTCACACAATCCAACAACTCACAGAGCACAAACATGGATCTTTATTACTTTTCTTCAGTTAAATGAACAACACTCCTTTCTGAACCTAAAGCAACTCCATTTCTGGAATGTGTACATGCACACATACACACGCACACTCCCTGTTATGAGAAACCAGCCTGGATTTTGGAAGTACCTCTAAAGGGAGAAAGGCTTTGTGAGCTCAGAGGTTACCTGCCCTCCTGAGTTCCAGGGCTATTTGAACAAAAAGCTATGATGCTATCGGAAGGTATTACTATGTTGGAAATTATTTTTATCATAGGGATTGAGGGACGGCTTTCAAAATAATAGTTGTCCTATCCCATTTTCAGAATTAGCTTTCTTTATATTAATCTAAATTAGGGTTTTAATAATAATTCCTATAACATGAATATTGGGGGAGTTTGATGTTCCTTTTCTAATTACATATAAGACCCCATCAGATATACCTAATAACTTATTAGCTTCTCATCTGAGACTTTGGTAGAAAGTGCTTAGTCTCCTGAAGTCGTCATGGTGTGTTTCAGAGTAAATGGGGCCTTAGAGAGCTCATGATAGTAAAGGCTTGTTTGTCTGAAACTAATGAATCTCTAGTGCAAGATAAGAGGAAGCTGGAGCATCATGACATTTCCTCTAATAATGTTTAATGCAGCAATCATTTGCTCAAAAATAGCATACCCTGCATGTTTTAGTAAATTATATTACATCAGCAGAAAGCTGTGTGTGTGTGTGTGTGTGTGTGTAATAAGAAAGAATAAAACAGGGCCCTAATATCAATCAAACATGGACTCACAGCTACCACGTTGACTTTCAGACCTGTAAATGGAAAAGTTATACCAGCTCGACAACCTCCTCCCAAGGGAGCCCCTGAGAGACCACCTCCCCCGAAACTTTCTGCAACCAGAGCATCCAATAAAAAACTGCCTTTTAATCGGTCTTCTTCTGACATGGATCTTCAGAAAAAGCAAAGTAACTTGGCATCTGGACTCTCAAAAGTCAAGAGTCAAGTCTTTAAAACTCAAGATCCGGTGCTGCCCCCTCGCCCCAAACCAGGACACCCTCTATACAGGAAATACATGGTAATTGTAGCTTTTGTAAAAATGTTTCTGGTCAAAAGATTTGTCCTAAAGTATATAAAAGATCCGTTATTCCTTAGAAAAAGATGATGAGACGAGTGTGAAATTGCCCCTTGATGCACAGAAGGCTTTAGATAAGTAGGCCAGAGTGAAACCTAGGTCTTTAAAGCAGGGTTTCGTTATTAGAAGAAATGTAGAAAGAGGAAGTAGGGCAGACAGGAATTGTAACCTGCTCTCTGGCTTGACCAAACAGAAACTGCAAAACCTGACCCAGTGGGCTATACTGATGGGAGTAGCTCTGACATATTATAGTTCATAACTTGGTATAGCTACCTTGCCCACAGACTAAAATTTAAAGTGCAATGGAAGGGAATTCCTCATTAGGATGGATGGTTTTCCCCCTCACTTTACCCTTTTGTAAACCTAATTATCATGGCCCATTTAACAGTCACCGGTTAGAAGTTTTTAATCAATAATCAAGATCGTTGAGGTATTAATTTTGTTCTCTTTGAAATTTTTTTTTTTTCATCTCTTGACTTTAAACATTTGTCCATTTCCCACACTTGAAAACGGAGCTGATGTGCTCTCTCTACTTTGGTCAGGTTAGCCTGATAAAGTGCAAAACAAATAAAAATAAGGAGAACAACTGTTTTCACTTTTTATTAAACAATTATATGACAGTGTCTTTTAACAAGGACAGCAATTATTAATTTGATGTTGTTCTACATTTCCATCATTGTGCCGGAAACTGCTTCCACCTTAAGCCATTTAGGATTTTCTAATCCTCCTAAGGGGGAAGGGTATAGACAGATAAGAAAGAGGTAGTATACTCATTTTCATTTAAACTGATGAAATTTTAATTGTTAAAACCCAGAGGTGTTCTTTGACTTTAAAATAATAAGAACAGTGGCTGATGTATTGAGTACTTACTATGAGCCAGATATTGTTCAAAATGCTTTATGTGTAATAACTCATTTATTCGTCACACCAACCCTGTGAAGTAAATACTGTTACAGTCTCTGTTATGCAAATGAGGAGAATAAGACATGGGAAGGTTAAGGAATTTGTTCAGGGTCACAAAGCCAGCTAATGGTAGAGCCAAGATTTGAACATAGGTCAACTGGCTCTGAGCCCATGCTCTTAGCCATTAAACCATACTACAAGAGTAGTGTTACTAGCTATAAAGTCTCTGCTTGCCTTGGACATCCTATGTTAAGAGTCTCATTCAGGAAGAACCATGTTTTGTTTATGGTTCTTAGCATAGCTGTATAATGTCAAAAAAAAAATTTGGATAGCTTGAGTTAAATTCAAAATGATAGTGTGTTAGAGTAGTGTGTTTCGTTATGAAATAATTCTTTAAATCTCTCATTTTTTGCATGGCCACCTTTTCATTAAATTGCTAATCAGGAATCTGGTTACTTGGGAGCCTGGGACTCTTCACAGAGATACTGGGAATCAACAGCACCCAACCCAGCCTTACAGGGCCACACATTCTTGCACTCTTGAGTCTGCTTCTGAGTGATCGAAGGGTCCCAGCAGCCTCCCTTTCCTTGTTGGAAGTGAGCTTGTGTGCTCACATTTCTGGGTATGCCTTTTATATTTTATACGCCCTCTGACCTGTACTCATCAGCCAGAACTTACCAAGGCTGGGAGCAGAGCCCTCTGGCCAGGCTGAGCTGCAGATAGAAAAGCCATTCTCAGATCACACAGCTGGGTAGGCCAGGAAGTGACCCGGGTCAGGCAGTGAACTAGGTTTAACTAGACACTTGGTATCAAATAGACTAGGAGAAAATGAGATTCAAGGCAAATGGAAGCAGTCAGTTAGGCACTAGGGCAGAGGCTCCAGTCCCCCACCAGCCTTCAGAAGACAGCCATGGAGGACCCTGTATTAAAGACCAATCCTGACAGACTGTGAAGTCAGGTGCTGAGCATTGATCCAGATGCTCAGGGGACTTGGTGGGCCTTGTCCTACAGAACAGAACTTCCAGGTTGTGTTTTGTTAAGAGGCATATTAAGCCATCATCCTGTGGGCTCAACTGCACATCCCCAAGGACTGTGAGTATCCATGAGAAATGGCAGGCCCCACCAGATCAAGAGCTTGAGGGAGCCAAGCCGAGAGTTTAACTGCTAGAGAAGTTGTGCGTTAGGCACACATGTGAAATCTCCACATTATCAGCAGCTTATGAGGAGGTTATTTGATTGCGAATAATCCTTTTATGGGTTTGTGTTTAAGCTGTCTGTGCCTCACGGAATTGCCAATGAAGACATTGTCTCCCAAAACCCTGGAGAACTCTCCTGTAAGGTAAAGTAGAGCTCTTTCTTTACTGACTAATGTAAAAAAAAAAGAAAATATCTGGCCGCTGTTAGTGCTTTACATTATTACATGCTTTAGGCTCCAAAGATTAAAATATGAAAAAAGTAATAATGTTTTATTAAATAATAATTGCCTCAGAGCGTGGTATTGTGCCTTACAGCGTGGGGACGTACTTGTGATGCTGAAGCAAGCAGAGAATAATTACTTGGAATGCCAAAAGGGAGAAGCTATTGGCAGAGTTCACCTGTCTCAGATAAAGATTATCACCCCACTTGAACATCTTAGAAGCAGACCAAACGTAAGGAATTAATACTGTACAGCCCTCATATCACACACGGCAGCACATTCCATAGAATTATTAATTATATCTCATCCTCGGGTTTTTATTAGCATGTTTATTTTAACCAGAGTAGAAATTACAGTAGCGTTTTATTTCATTTTAAGAATAAATTACTTCTAAAAGACTTGCCACTGCCATGCTAATCACTTTGCTACACAGAATGGCTACCATGTGGTTAGCCTGCTTCATCTTGTGCTGACTTACAGCGGCCAGAGCGAGAGCTATTTATTTTTGAAATAATGTAAACATGTTTACCAAAGTGCCAGAGATTAGTTTTCTCCCAGAATGAGTAATTATTTTTAAGGGGGCCCTATAAATGCTAAGTCTGACATTAAGAAACACTTCCCTTTAAGATTTAAGCTTTAGAGTAACCCTCATTTCTCTGATTATAGCTCAAAATAATGAAATGAAATGTAATCCAACAACCTAAAGTCACAGTGTAGGCCTAACGAATTTGTGGAGCCTGGGAGAACACAATGATTGTTGAAGGTCATTTGTTTAGCAAGAAAAATTGCACTGAATGATTTATTATAGAGGTATATTTGTAAAAGAGCTTCTTAAGTTATCCAGGTAAATTTTCACTATCTGGTAGTTAATGGGGCACACATGAAAAATAATAGCCACCTATCATTTAACTCAAGGGGAAGTATTTGGTTTGCCATTTGTCCTAGTTTTCAAAATCTAGTCCAATTCTTTCTACTTAGAAGGCAGTTTATCTTTTGAAGTTTGCTAAGAAATGTAAAAATTGGTATTTTGGAGAGCAGAGAAGATACGTGTTAAAGTAGTCTCAGCTAGGATACTGAAATTCTAACTTTAGTCCACACAGGGAAAGTTCTCCTGCTGCTCATTTTCTCTTTGTTTTGGTACAGCATTATCCATCTGTCACAGCTGTCCTTCTCTCAGAACACACTGGTGGGTAATACTAGGAGTTGTACTGCCAAAAAGCTTTCCTTGATTTAAAAAAAAAAAAACAGAAGCTAAAAACAATTAGAAGTTATTCTTTTACAACAGTCCAAAGTTTTTTCCACTTCATGTACGTGTTTGAGACAGAGAGAGCAATAGCAAGAGAGAGCAGGAAGTGGTGGGAGAAGCAGACTCCCCACTGAGCAGGGAGCCCGAAGTGGGGCTCGATCCCAGGACCCCAGGATCACGACCCGAGCCTAAGGCAGACACTCAACCGACTGAGCCGCCCAGGTGCCCCAGTTTATTCCACTTTGAACATTACCTTCCTTCCCCTTGTACCAAAGACTTGGAGACACCTGGCCTCCATTGGCCAAGTACTGGCGATACAAAAATGAAGCCTTCTTTAGACTCTGGGTTCATGGCTAGCGTTATGTTTTTTTAGAAAAATAAAACTTACCTATTTGTAAGCCTAGTTTTAAGGTAAAAAATTCTAAAAATGAGCTCTACTCTCCCCTACCTTAGTAAACAGAAAGTAATGAACATTACCAGTTGAGGTTGCATGTCTCAGATCATGGGAAGTGGGAGGTGGTTACCTAGGGCCTGGTTGTGAGCAAAGATTTTTGTTCCAGTGAGCTGGGTTTCAGTTCACTATACATCACCCCAGGCGGTTCTTTAACCTCTCTAAACTTAATTTTTTTTTTTTTTAAGATTTTATTTATTTATTTGACAGCGAGAGAGGGAACACAAGCAGGGGGAGTGAGAGAGGGAGAAGCAGGCTTCCCGCGGAGCAGGGAGCCCGACGCGGGGCTCGATCCCGGGACTCAGGGATCACGACCAGAGCCGAAGGCAGACGCCTAACGACTGAGCCACCCAGGCGCCCGTAAACTTCATTTTTTTAATGTGGGAAATAGTTGTGATAATTCCACAGAGTTTTTTTTAGAATTGATTTATTGTATGATTCCATTTATATAAAAAGTACAAAAGGTAAATCCAGAAGGTAGATTGGTGGTTGCCCAAGGGCCATGGGGAAGGTGCAGGGGGAATGACTGTTAATGGGGAGGGAGTTTCTTTGGGGAGTGATAAAAATGGTCTAAACTTAGATTTGGTGAGAGTTGCACAATTCTGTGAATTTTCAAAAACTATGCACACTTTAAATGGGTGGTTCTTATGGTCTGTGAATGATACCTCAAAGAGGTTTAAAAACTTAGAAGAGCTAATTAATGCATATAAGCTGTTTAACGTGGTGAGTAGTGCATAGTGAGTACACGCTAAATATTAGCATTTTTTATGACTCATTTGTATCAGCAATTATAGTCTTATTAGAAAGAGCTTTGGAATATATTCGATTGACCTCCCAGACACCCACCCTGATGGCGTGGTCTGAGTCGTACTGACCCCTTGTGGCTGGCCCTGTGGAGCCTGTGTCTCTTGCCCCTCAGCTGCCAGGCCGGGTTGATAGCAGCCTTGCTGAGGAAATCCTTGCATTGAAGACAGAGAAGGGAAACCTAATTGGGAGGCTCAAGTTACTGTCCCGCCTCATCCACCCTCCCAAGCTTGGTTATGCTCAGATTGTAGGGCCCTTTGAAGAATCTTGTTTGTGTTTCGTCTGGGGTAAGCCTCCGACTTGATTGTTTCCAAATGGATAGCCATCTAGCCTGAGACCATTTACTGAATAGTCATTCCTTTTTCCACAGATGTAAATCAGAAAAATAATGAAAACCACACACATACACACCTATAATAACTGAAGTAAATAGTTTTTTAAAGCCCCTCCCGACTGCAAATACCTCATAGCTCTTTCCACAATTCCTGAAATTCCCATCATGCTCATTTACTTAGAGAAAAGCACTGAGCAGCTTCCAAGAAAATATCAGGGTTACTTTGGTAGGCTACTGTAGTGAGCTGCCATTAGCCATTACGGTCTTGGCCTCAATTAGTATTTCTGTTCGTCTAACTTGAGAGAATACAGAATGCCTCTGCAGGGGGCATTTTGGTTGAAAGATGAGATAATAAATCTGCCTTCATTTAGTTCACATGTTTGCGAGTGTTGAAGAGTTTTAAGTTATAACTCCAAATAATACCTTTTAGTCAGATTAGATGAGGAGGAGGAGGAGGGTGTTAAGCCTGTCTGTTCGCATTAAACAAGAATAACAACTGCTTGTCAGTGAGAAAAGGTCACTCTTCAACTATACGCTCTCCCCTAACCAATCTAGGAAGTTGGCTACATGGGTAGAGAATATTGAATTCTCTTTGCTAATTTACTTAGAATTACTGTTGAATAAACCATTTAGATTAAATAGAAAATCCAGGCGAGGCATGGGAAGTAGTGTTGTTGGCCTTCAAATTAGAGAAAGCTTTCAGTTAAGTGGTAATAAATGAAATAGATTTTACTTTTTGTGAATTATACTTTTGTGGAAGTCATTAGCTCTTTTCATTATGAAAGGCAAGAGAGTATAAATTGCAGAGCTTTCTTCTTTTACCATTTTAATGAAGACTCAACTTTTAAGGCTCTGTTCTTGAGATTTAGTACTGATCATAATTTAAGGAAAAAGCGACCTTGGCAAGGTACCCAGATCAAAAACCACTACTTCAGAGTAGAATGATACCAGTTTTTTTTTAAAAAAATAATAATAGGGGTGCCTGGGTGGCTCAGTCGTTAAGCGTCTGCCTTCGGCTCAGGTCATGATCCCTAGGTGCTGGGATCGAACCCTGCACCCGGCTCCCTGCTAGGTGGGAAGCCTGCTTCTCCCTCTCCCACTCCCCCTGCTTGCGTACCCCCCTCCTCTCTGGCTGTCTCTCTCTCTGTCAAATAAATAAATAAAATCTTTAAAAAATAATGATAAAAATAAAAAGTTAATTCCCTTTTATTTTACTCTCTTGGTTTCAAAAAAATGCTGGGGGATGTTACAATTGAGTGTTATTTCTGTCCTCCCTTGGCAAGGACACATGTCTTTTCAACTTGATAATGATTCCCTTGTTTGGCTCAACTGTGTGGTTTGCATCTTGTACTCAGAATGTAATTGTGTCAAGAGGATTCAAATGAGGGGGGAAAAAATGGTCTCAGAGTGAATAGAAAATCCAGGATCCATCCTGCACACTTCACTCAAAGCCCTGTTTTCCCCACTCAGGATCCAAACCATGCTCAGAAGCCTGTTGACAGTAGTGCCCCTCATGCTGTTGTTCTTCATGATTTTCCAGCAGGTAAGCACATAAATAATCAAGTGCTAGACCCTTAGGATCCCCAGGCAGTCATCTTCCCTGAGTTAACCTCTTGAGGACGTCTTCATTTTCTGTGCCAACAGAGTTCCATCTTATCTATCACCCTGCCTTCAGGAAGGGTCGATTGTACCCAGCCATTCCAGAGAGCTTAGCTGCATTCCCTTGCCTTTGAAATTCCCTGTGAGAAAGAGTGAGGGGAGGCAGAATGGGGGGGTACGGGGGGGGTTCCCTTACAATGAACAAATAGCGAATTGCCTACCAATTGCAAACTTTTAAGTCTTTAAAAACAGTGCATACCAATTAATAATTACAGTGAAATTCATTCTAATTTAAAAAGTGAAATAACTTTCTCCTAAGAGTTGCAAAATCTGCACATATAGCTTAGCTGTTACTTACGAGATGAAAATATACATTTTTTGTAATCAATTTATTTTTGTTTGTTTGTTTATTTTAAAGATTTTATTTATTTATTTGACAGACCGAGAGAGGGAACACAAGCAGGGGGAGTGGGAGAGGGAGAAGCAGGCTTCCCGCTGAACAGGGAGCCTGATGGGGGCTCGATCCCAGGACCCTGGGATCATGACCTGAGCCGAAGGCAGATGCTCAACAACTGAGCCACCCAGGCGCCCCTGTAATCAATTTTTAGATACCTTTTATATCCAAGATTGCAAGGCTACAAATAAACTCCTGATTTATTTAACACCTCTTTTGATCTACTTGGTAGAATGATTTTTATTTTAGTGTGAGTACATTTGCTTCCTAAAGAGCTGTAGTAGTCCTTTAGTTAATATTTTGAGATTAAAATGATTTTTAAGCATGATTGAGAATAATATACCATGTCTATAAAACCTTTCATTGTTCAATATGTATTCAGCAAAGGGTTTATATTGACCCAGTAGGAACCGTTGGCCAGCACAATTTTTTTTTTTTAACCATTATCTATCAACCAATGCATGGTAAATGCATCTAATTTGGTCTTTAAAGAGGAAGCTCATAATAATAATAATGCCCCCCAAAATAATATATTTTTTAAGTCAATTTGATTGGTGTAATCTGTTCTCAGAATCACTAGAACATAACTGCCTCAGTGAACAGAAGTAAATGTTACTTTGTGCTCTGCTTTAATCAAATCTGCAACCAAGAGAATTCATCATATACATAATTATAATTTTATGTTACAGAGCAAGCTGATGATTTGCACCTCACTTCTGGAGAAATTGTTTATCTTCTGGAAAAAATAGACCCAGATTGGTATAGAGGGAGATGTAGAAACCAGACTGGCATATTTCCTGCCAACTACATCAAAGTAATTGTAAGTAGGGTAGTGCTTGTTTAAATTCGTCGTATATTCTGTGGGTTCTGTGTAACTTGCAGTTTGGAAAAAACAGAAGCCTAGATTCTTATATTCTTAGTTCATGCTCTTCCATTGATGCATCTGGTATTTGGAAAATTCAAAAAATAAAGGTTTGTTCAACTAGATTATGATTAATTATTATTATATTATATGGAGTATTGGAACTTAATGCCTAAATGCTATCTGAAATCCTAAGGTAGAAAATGACTGCAGGTCAACTGGCGAACCAACTCAGAGGGGTGGGTAGGCACTAAATGATACATATTAACTCTTTGAAACCTTTAGTAAACAACAATTAAATAGTACCAGATAGTTCCAAAGGAATGTTTTCTGAGGTTATGGTGCCACTTATTTTCTTTGGAGTACATTTCACTTTTGGTTTCTTTCATCCTTTCCATTCCCATTTATTTCCATCTTAAAAAAAAAAACTAAAGTACTTTCATTGGAGGTAGTGGTCCATTCATGGTTTTTCACATAATAACTTCAAATCTGATTGGGAAAAATTACATATATATATATATTTAAAAGATCTTATTTATTTGACAGAGAGAGAGCGAAAGAGGGAACACAAGCAGGGGGAGTGGGAGAGGGAGAAGCAGGCTTCCCGCCGAGCAGGGATCCCAACGCGGGGCTCGATCCCAGGACCCTCCGATCATGACCTGAGTCGAAGGCAGACGCTTAACGACTGAGCCACCCAGGTGCCCCTGGGAAAAATTATATTAAAGCATCAGAATTTTTTATGCCCTCACAGCCTACAATATGTGAGTCCATATTGTAGAGCCCCCCAGTGCTAAGCCCGGGTACCTGTGAAACACGGAGAGAAAATCAGAATGCCATTTGAACATTTATGTCAATAGGAAGAGTATGACTCAGTCCCTGATATAACTTACTGATGCTGGAAGATATCAGTAAAGCTAGCTTAAATCATTGAGCATTAACAGCTTGTTTGAAGGGGAAAAAGCCAAGGATTTTCCATTACATCAGAAACCTAGGAAACAAAACAACAGAAAAGCTGTATTTTTCAAATATAAATGAGTTTGAGTCTCTTGAATTCTAAAATGCGGGTCTTAAAAATTTTCCAATATATATATATGCCCTGATTCTTTAGAGAATTCTTTTCTACATTCTCTAAATTAATATTAAGAATAATGTTAGTTTTAGCACTCTTTCTCATTTTTCTTCTGCCCAATGTAGCAGTACTTTAAAAAGCACAGTGATCACACTGAAACCAGTCACACCAAATCTGCCACATTATTGGTATAAATGCCACTTGTAAGCCTACAACTTTAAAAAATTGTTCTAAAATTTTTAGAATTTATCAGGAAGGGTGCTGATTCTTTTCATATAAACTTCAAAACCTTAACTTAGTTTTCAGACTTAGTACATTATGGTCAAATATTTTATGACCGCCCAGCTCTACTGAGCCTTGTAAATAAGGTATTCTATAAAGTGCCTGCCACTTAGTAGATGCTCACTGAGTACTCATTCCTTTCTTCCTTCCGTATTCACACTGAAGGAAAAGAAAATGGTCCAGAGTGAGGAAAAAGAGAGAACTCACAAGTTTGACTGAAAGGTTTTATTTGGGGTTCAGGAAAGTCTGGCAGAATTCTACCAACGCTTTGAAATTGGTGGGGTGGTGCATGAGTGCCTGCTGCCTAGTTTCTGTCTTATGTCCTCCTCATCTGAAGTTTTCAACTTAGAGGATGTGGGAGAGAGAGAACCCAGTCCACGCTAGAGTGATATCAATGTGCTTATTCCAGCAAATAAGAGGATTGATTGGCTATTCAAGAGAGGCTACATCCCAGGTTACGTATTTTTTTTTTCAAAACCCAAATTCTGGATTCCTTACCTTTCAGCACCCATGGTACTACTTCATTAGTTTAGTACCTACCTAGACTGGTTCATTTCAATCCCATATTTCCTAATTACTTAGCCTTACATTTATCTGAAAACAAAAAATTGTTGCCTTGACATTGTCTTTACAGATTGACATTCCAGAAGGAGGAAATGGGAAAAGAGAATCCGTTTCAACTCATTGTGTTAGGTAAGTTTTATTTGTGTTCTTTTGCACAAAACGTAAAGGAGGAAGAATTACCAAACTTGAAACACTTCAGATACGTGTGATTATTCACCTTCTCAGCGTGTCTTTGTAATTATGAGGAAAACTTGTTTAAAAAGCTTTAGTGGTGGGGGCACCTGGCTGGCTCAGTTGGAAGAGCACGTGACTCTTGATCGGGTTGTAAGTTCAAGCCCCATGTTGGGTGTAAAGATTACTTAAAAATAAAACCTTTTTTTTTTTTTGAAGATTTTATTTATTTATTTGACAGAAAGAGAGACACAGCGAGAGCAGGAACACAAGCAGGGGGAGTGGGAGAGGGAGAAGCAGGCGTCCCGCTGAGCAGGAGCCCGACGCAGGGCTTGATCCCAGAACCCTGGGATCATGACCTGAGCCTAAGGCAGACGCTTAACGACTGAGCCACCCAGGCGCCCCCAAAATAAAATCTTTTTAAAAAGTAAGTGAGTAAATAAAAATAAAAAGCCTTAGTGGATTAAAACTCTGAGAAATGCAGCATGCCAACAGAAGCTGGCAGGAGCGACGCTCCACGTCGTACAGGACCTACAGATAGCCGCTGACTCACTCCTGCAGCCCTCCACACACAGCCTGGCCTGAGCTTGAGCAGAGACCGTTTCTTTATCCGATGCATTTTGTTTTGGTCTTCCTGTGTTTAGCTACCAGCAGATTATTTAGAAGGTTCAGCTATTTTTTTTTTTTTAAAGATTTTATTTATTTATTTGACAGAGAGACACAGCGAGAGAGGGAACACAAGCAGGGGGAGTGGGAGAGGGAGAAGCAGGCTTCCTGCCGAGCAGGGATCCCAACGCGGGGCTCGATCCCAGGACCCTGGGATCGTGACCCGAGCCGAAGGCAGACACTTAATGACTGAGCCACCTAGGCACCCCTAGAAGGTTCAGCTATTTTTGTCACCGAAGATATTTTAACCCTATAGAAATCGGAACCCTACAAAAACTGCTAGACATTTTGCAGTTTTGTTTTTAAGAGGAACGAAAAGAAAGTAAAGGAAGAGTTAAGTTGGAGGGGTCTTCCTTTATGTCTGAAGACCTTTCCGTGAATTTATATACCCTTTCACGCACCACTGTAATTCCTTGGTGATTCAGTGCAACTCTATATTCCAGTTACATGAGCAAATTAGTAGAATTCACTACCTGCTAAAGACTGTAAACCTGTCTTTGAATAGGTCAGACATAAGGAGATGCTCTCCAAGGACTTCAGAAAATAAATGCAAAGGTTACCACAAATAAGAAAACTTCTGGGGCGCCAGGGTTGCTCAGTCATTAAGCGTCTGCCTTTGGCTCAGGTCATAGTCCCAGGCTCCTGGGATCGAGTCCCACATCGGGCTCCCTGCTCCGCGGGAAGCCTGCTTCTCCCTCTCCCACTCCCCCTGCTTGTGTTCCCTCTTTCACTGTGTCTCTCTCTGTCAAATAAATAAAATCTTAAAAAAAAAAAAAGAAAACTTCTGATGTCACAATAGTTGAATTCTATTTCATGCTCAGTTTTTCTCCGATTTTTAAGCAGTGTTTACTGTGTCAGCAGGTTGAATTTAAAGTGGGCTTTCACAGCCGCCTATCCATTGACCTGACTTAAATCAGACTTTGATTGGTGCCAGGACCAACCTTGTCTCTTCAGGCAGTTGCATCCCCTTGATTGTTGCTATTGAGACTTCCTTTTTAAGCCTTAAAGCGAAGGTTTGGTGTTAAACCATGCCTTCTGGAGACACAGTTTTATCTCTACTTTTATCTTCTTTTCAGTCACAGTTGCAGATCATTAAAAGATTGTTCTCATTCTCAGAAGTGAAGCCTTTTTAAAGGTGATTACAGAAATCCTCTTTAAAACAACAGTGTTAAGTTTAAGACTTAGAATTTTTCCAGTTTGTTTTCTTCAAACTTTGTAGTTGTGAAGACCATGTATCTATATAGACAACTCACTGATGATTCATCATATACTGAGCATCTCCTCTGTCCAGCTGATGCCCATTGCATTCTGCCATGGAAGTTTCATGTCTTGCCCTGAGATTCTCAGGGTTGGCACTTCTAAACTCAGTGCAGTTACGATTGAGAGGGTTCGGATTCAGCCATGGATTTCTGTGGCCCAAGCATACAAAGACATGGAATGAAGTAAAGGTGATCAAAAGATGTGCCAACGTAGATTGGCCCCTCAGGCACTCATTTGGAATTCTGCATGTACTCTGTGACCTTGACTTTAGCCTTTTTTTTCTTTAGCCTTTTGAGTGAATGGGTTCATACCTAAAAGGTAAGAACTATCATTTAGAAATATACCTTATTCTTTTTCACAGAAAATTTTAAATTATGCCTAGTGTATCTTGTTCCATAGTAACACAGAATAAATATTTATTGAAAGACCAAATGAAGGTTTTAAAGCATTTTGAAAGTTAGTACTCTCTAGTTTAACACATAACCATGATCTTCTTTGTTCAGAGGCCCAAGATGTATCGCTCGGTTTGAATATATTGGAGACCAGAAGGATGAGTTAAGTTTCTCGGAGGGAGAAATTATTATTCTTAAAGAGTATGTGAATGAAGAATGGGCCAGAGGAGATCTTCGAGACAGAACTGGGATTTTCCCCCTTAACTTTGTAGAACTCGTGGAGGACCATCCCACCTCTGGTGCCAGTGTTTTAAGTGAGTATAAAAATATGGTTTTTTATTTTGTTCTGTCCTAATTCAACTAAACCAAATAATAGAATAATACTTAAGCTGATTAATAATTCATACTTTTTAAAGTAGAAAGAAAAATTATTTTTAAATGGTAATAGTCATTATTGGGATAGCCATTGTTATAATCTTTCAAAGATCTGGTTTTGGTGTTTTAGGTAATGAGCATTAGCTTCATATCAGAAATGGCGAAGAATCAAAAACTTTTAAACAGAAGTGGACTATCTAGTATAACTAATGTGTATCCCCCACTTTACAGTAAAGAAAACAAGCCCAGAGAGGATGGGTACCAGTCAGAGTTAGCCAGTACATGAAGAGACTGATCTAGAATCCCAGACTTCTTACTCTCTCTGCGGTTTTTCTCCAATACTAGTACATGGTGTTTACATCTATCTAAAGTTTTAACTTTTTTTTTTTCTTTAACATAGACACAAAGGTACCACCGAAGACCAAAAAAGATGATTATGGTGCAAATTCTCAGGTAGGCTGCTTGAATAGGCAACTATTGAAACTGGGTTTCAACTCTGGGAAGAATATTAAAATCATAATTACCAAGAGAAAATGTTATAAACCATTTTTCATTTCATGGAGCAAATGTTTGAAATAAATGGATAGATGGTTACTGTCTTTATCGTGTATAATAGAGCTCATACAAATGGGTTAGAAAGACATGCTGCAAACCCTGACAGCAAACAGGGAAAGAGACATAATTAGAATATTCATAAAAGAGATACTCTTGTGACTGATACTAAAAAAATTTTTAAAAGGGTGCCTGGGTGGCTTAGTCAGGTGAGCATACAACTCTTGGTTTCAGCTCAGGTCGTGGTCTCAGGGTCGTGGGATCGAACCCCACATGGGGCTCCATGCTCAGCACAGAGTCTGCTGGAGGTCCTCTCCCTCTCCCTCTGTTCCTCCCCATGCTCCCTCCCCCCTTCAAAAAAAAAAAAAAAAGATTTTAGTCACAAAGATGGTCATAGTGGTGATTTTATAATAGGAAAAAATTAGAAGCATCTAAATGTGACCATTATTAGGAGAATGTTCTGAGTCCACGAATACTAGATTTATAAAATAAATGTCATGGGAGGAAAACATACATTATAGGGAAATTGAATATATAGCATAAAAAGACTAGAAGGAAATATACTTAAGTTGCTAACATGCAGTTGCCTTTATGTGGTAAGATTATAGGGGGTGGGTTTTTTCCCTACTTTTTCATACATTTTCGAACTTGCCAAATGTTTGGGAACATTTGTATTGTTTTTATAATGGGAAAGAGAAAAAATGGATTAAAAATTTTACACTGTATAGCATGACTTCAAAAGTGTTAAACGGAATAGGAATGTGGATGACTTCCATTGTTTTTAAAATGAGCTATTTTAGAAGAGTGAGCCTGATGGGGTCATTGTTTATCACAATGTCACTGGTAATTGGGCTGTGTGTCCCTGAATTCTTGGATCCCTGCCCACTGATAAAGTCAAACAGGAAAGAGGGTGACTACAGTTCTCCAAAAGGAAGTGTTCACATAGTACCTGCATTTCTTGGGAGTTGAAAGTACCATTCTTGAAGATATGGTTACTCAGGTGCAGGAGCAAGAGGGGGTTTTGTTTATTTTGTTGTTGTTTTTGTATTATATGCCATCAGTTGTGGCGAACTTCAGATCTGTTAGGTGCTGTGCCAAGTGTGCTCCATGCATTATCTCATTCAGTCCTCACAACAACACTTAGCAACACTAAGACGAATCTGAGTTTCGGTCTAGAACCCAGACCTGTCTGGCTCCAAGCCTTTGCCTTCGCATTTTCCTCCGCATTTTCCTCTCCTCCCTGCTTGAGCTCCTCGAACATAGTGTTCCCATCCTGACTTGGCAGAGACACCTTTTTGCAGAGCAAATCCTTCCTCTGATGTGTGTGGAGTAAAGGCATTCTTGTTGGAGCATTCCATCAACTAACCTGCCATGTTTGGGTTATTACCCCACCAACCTTAACGCTAACTATACCTCATAGAATTAAAAGGGTGAATTAATGAAGTCCCATACGACGGAATCTGATAGCCTCTGAATCAGGTAAAGACCTGGAATTAACAGACCCATTCTGATCCTTCCTAATTTAGGTAAAGAAGAGCTTCACTGAAAATTATATGCTTCACCAGAATTTTTTCATAGTGTCATAAATACTGTACATAAATACCATATGCTTTTACCTAATGTTTTTAATGTAACTCATGTTACAGATGTTATGATCACAATCAGCAAAAAGTTTTTGCTTAAGCATTGTATATACCTTAAAAGCAGAAAAGCTACAAATCTCATCGTATCTGTCATTTAGAATTCTATTTTAAGAAAAAAGTTATTGGAAACTTATTTCTGAAAGTTGGCAGCAGACATAAAGTCTTGGGTGATTTAAAGAAGCCTTCAGGGGCACCTGGGTGGCTCAGATGGTTAAGCGTCTGCCTTCGGCTCAGGTCATGATCCCAGAGTCCTGGGATCGAGTCCCACATCGGGCTCCCTGCTCCGTGAGAAGCCTGCTTCTCCCTCTGCTTCTCTCTCTCTCTCTCCCTCTCTCTCTCCCTCTGTCTCTCATGAATAAATAAATAAAATCTTTAAAAAAAAAAAAATAAAGAAGCCTTCAGGCTTTGAAATCTTTGACCCTTTAGCTTTTTTTTTTTTTCAGCTTTATACAATGTCAAATAAAATCTCACATTTCTTACCAAACTTCCGGTTTGTAACAGGATAGTAGTCTTTCTGGAGAATGGTGTGAAGCCCTTCACAATTTTACAGCAGAGACCAGTGATGACTTATCCTTCAGGAGGGGAGACCGGATCCTGATCCTTGAGCACGTGGACTCTGAGTGGTGCAAGGGCAGACTGCGTGACAGGGAGGGGATCTTCCCAGCAGTCTTTGTGCGGCCCTGCCCAGGTATGGCAACTGTAGAAATGACTGTTACTCTCAGAGGGGAGCCCAAGACCTTTGGAATGATAGATACTCCTTTTCCCTCCGACCATGCTCAGTTTAACTTGTTTGCCTGCATTTGAAAGAGTTGATTCATAAATGTATGCAAACTCTTTGAACTTTGTTGGAGATATGGGGGAAAATAAAGACAAAAATGCCTTCACTTAATAATAATGGCTAATTTTGTCTACTAAATGTATGCTGTATAGTTGTTTTTCTGGTAAGAAAACATCATCTTTTTGCAAGTTAAGTAAATTCAAAATTAATTGAAATTATTCTGTCCCAGGAATGAGAAGCGGGGGGCTTCTTAAAATTTTTGATTTGTGTTTTAGTCCAATGTCTCTCTCTGTATATATAAATTTTTGATGTCTTCACAGCTGAGGCAAAAAGCATGTCTGCTTTAGCACTGAAGGGGAAGAAGGCCAAAGCCTTATATGATTTCCATGGGGAGAATGAAGATGAGCTTTCCTTCAAGGTCAGAATGTGTATCTTTTTATAACTGCATTAAACTGCTATAAATTTTGAATTGTCTTCCACTGAAGAGTGGAACATTTGGGTGGAGTATTGATCATTAGCCAGGAAGGAACAGATCTCAGACCCTAACTCTAATGGACAAGATTAGAGAAGGTGAATAGGGCACATTTAAATTATCAGCAAGGCGTTTAAGTACTTTTAAAACCTTACTGGCCTGATAGCCCCACAATCCCCAAATGAATTCCTTATTCCTAGGCCTTGTAACATCTGATCTCAGCAATACTAGAATTTTCATTGGTAGCCCTAGTAAAGGATAATTCTCTCCATAGCTTTTGCAGCCTGTTACTGTCATATCATTTGAAATCAATGGAGAAATCAGTTGGTACCTACTACAGTTGGCCACTGCAGGCAGCAGTCTTCATAAGACACTGGAGTCTTGTCCACAAAGATACTGACTAGACTTTGGGGAAATGATCCCAAAAGGTTAAGTTCCTATGCAAAGTTTGCTTATTTATGTGTGTATGTATATATGTATGTAATCTTTGCACCCAGCGTGGGGCTTGAACTCACACCCCCGAGATTTAAGAGTCACATGTACTTCTGACTGAGTCAGCCAAGCGCCCCTGCAAAGGTTTTTTTTTTTTTTAAGCAGCCTAAAATTTCATCTTACTTTACCGAAGAAGTGCATCTTCTTTTTTGTTTGTTTTTTTTTTTTTTATTTTTGTTTTTTTTTTTGTTTTTTAAAGATATTTATTGAGAGAGAGAATATGGTAGAGAGAGAGCACGAGAGGGAAGAAAGTCAGAGGGAGAAGCAGACTCCCTGCTGAGCAGGGAGCCCGATGCGGGATTCGATCCCGGGACTCCAGGATCATGACCTGAGCCGAAGGCAGTCGCCTAACCAACTGAGCCACCCAGGCACCCCTTTTGTTTGTTTTTTAAAGAGTAAAAACAGAATATTTCCATGATCCTGTTTCCCCAGCCTACAAATGGACCATGGTCAGAGGAAGGCACTCAGGACTGTACATTGGGACTGTTCCAAGAGGAAGGAGGGTGGGTTTAGCAGCAGTTGCCATCAGAACAGCCTGCGTCAGACACTGGGAAATTCTCCATCGTGGGATACTCAGCCAGAGGCAGGAATGCCATAGAAAGAAAGCATCAGGGAGTGATTGGAGAAGAGGAAACTTAAAACAGAGGGTGCCCCACAACCTGTCTAAAACAAAACAAGGGAAATGAAGGTGCTATTGGGAAGTCACGGAGTAAGGGGCATGCAGAGATAAATCAGTATAAAGTTGTTAACTTTCCTATTTTGTTATGGAGTTTTCACATTCTGGGAATTTCTTCCTTTTCATATTAAAATGTCATTTCTCTTATAAAATGCTGTTAGTAAATGATATTTCTTATGCAGAATTATAATTTGGTAACCTTGTATCAGTTCCTTTTTTCCCCCCCTTAATTTCTTGGTTCTCAAAGTCCAAGTGTTTGGCAACTGTTGCCCTCGTCCTTTTTAGTCATGGGAATCAGTGGCTCAAACATCATTCTTTTTATCTTTACGAAAAATGTTACTGCAAGTGAACAATCTCCGTTCAAACTTTTTGGATGTCATTTTGGCCTTTGTTTAAGTTACGTCGGTGTAAATAACAGAATTCATAGTATTCTCCAGAAAAAAGGTTGCCTTCATTTTACAAATGACTGACTATAAACAAGGTAGTTCTCGAGTTTTTTAGTTAAGGGATTCATTGTTAATCATTATTTTATTAAATATTCACAGAATATTAGTAGAACTTTTTTTGAAAAAGAAATGTCTTAGGTATCAGAAAACTGACATGGTATGTTCATATGGACCAGAGCCCCCCCCAAAAAAAAGTTTCAACTATTATATTATAATTTAGGAACCAGAAGGAACTTATTTATAATAGAAACTTTGAACAGCCAGAATTTTTACGGATTTTGGCAGAGTAAAGTAAATTAATGACATTTGATAGTCAGCATTTTTCCTTTCCATTTTCCATAAAGAAAGGCCTTAAATTAAACCATTTTTCCAGAGGGCAGTGTACTGGTGCTATAAATAAAGTCCATTTAGCCTGATAGAGATTCTTAAAAGTAGCCAGGGTCATCCTGAACCATGAGAGAATCTTAAACCCAGATTCTAAGAAATGGTTAGAATCCATAAAGAACAAAATAGTTTCAGGAGATAATTTCAAAAATGATGTCTTCATCTGTTGAGGAATTATAATTCACACATGAATAAGACACACAGTGCCTTTGACTAACTTGATGAGGGTAAATCAGATGTTCTGAGTCAGGGAGAAGCTCTTTTAAAGATAGGAATGAATGTAAATTTGATCGTGAGGCCGTAGAAGCATGGAATAAACCAAATGGTAAAGGAGGATACCGTTATGTGGAAGAATGAATGTATAGTATAAAATGCTCAGGATGTTGAGAAAAGGCAGTTATAGTAAGAGCCTTTCTAAGTAAAAAATCCACTGTAAAATGTGGTGGCTATGTTTCCCAGTGGTTAGCAACACTGGCCCTGAAACCATACTAGATTGGAATCCTGTCCCTACCACTAACTAGACATGCAGCCCCAAGTAAGCTGTTTAATCTCTCTGAGCTTCGGGTTCCTTCTCTTTAAAGAAGTTTATAAAAATCTCTCTCTCAAACGGCAAAGTAACAGTACTCTGGGACTGCAGTGTTGTTTAAATGAGTTAATTCCTATAAAGTGCATAGGGTGTAGAGTAGGACTATCTATGGTAAGCACATGGACCCTCTTACCTTCAAGTCTTTGCTAAAAATGTCACCTTCAGGGGGGTGTTCCCTGACTGGAACCCCACTTTCTGTCCTCCTGGGCCAGCTTATTTATTTGCTTCCCTACTCTAAAATGAGGCCTTTGTTCCTTGCTGTATGCGTAATACTCAGAACAGTGTCTGACACATATTGGGTGCTCAATAAATAATTGTTAAATGAAAAAAATAGATACAACCTATATGACATCTAGGACTGTTCTTAAAGGAGAATTTTAGATTAGGAGTAGTGAATTTGGGGGGGGCACAAAATGCAAGCGGGAAAATAAAGGTGCAGTGAGGGTGATAACGGCGAAGGAAGGGGCTCTGAGAAGAGGCATACAAGCAAATGGTGTCGTAAGGTCTAGATCATCTGTGGGACGTATCATTTAATCCACTGGGCAAATCAAGATCAGTGAGTGACATCAAGAGAAGATTAACCATGCCTCTCCAAGGAGGCTGCTTACCATGCTTATTCTCAACAGAAAATAATCATTATTTCCAATTTCTGTATTCTGACAGGCTGGAGACATCATAACAGAGCTGGAATCTGTAGATGATGACTGGATGAGTGGAGAACTAATGGGAAAATCTGGAATATTTCCCAAAAACTATGTTCAGTTTTTACAAGTCAGCTAAAGGTGAAGCTTGACTGTTCTTTGGCACAAGAACTCACTTGAACTATCACTTTGACTATCAGATATGTTTTTGCACTATTTTTGTAAACTGAAATATCTATGTACATGGTACACTAGAATTTTCTGAAAGCAGAATACGTCTAGGTTTTGTAGTCCTCTTTCATTCAGAGTAACTGATACATGCATGTAGAAACCCATGAACCACCCCGGTATCCTACCAAGGAGGACGTCAGACAGGATCAGCAAGGCAAGTACACACTTCCCCAGGGAAAGCGTTGGGTGCCGTGGCAGCATGGGGAGGCTTATGAGCAGATGTTGCACTTGGACATCTTTGCATCAGCACAAGGAAATTAACCGTGCTTCTTCATTTTTTACTTTAGTTTAAAAAGAGGACATTTTATATTATCTGTGCTGTAACTATCAGAACATGGTTGGTAATCTGAATTTCATTTTTGACATTCAAATTAATTCTAACCATTTAAGTACATTATCCTTATTACCAGGGCAAATCTTTGCTTCAGGTGGGGCAGTTTATTAACTAGCTGGAGCCTTTATAAGCACTTGGTGAATCAGCTCGTGCTCATCAAATGCTCCTTGTGTTGTCAAGTATTTTTCCCTTTGTCCAAGGATTTAAAGGGGGTTAAAATTTGATGTATCTTAGTCAAAAGAACCAAAACCATCCTGAAATGCCTTGCTAATACAACTAACCCTTCCAGGTACCTGCCACACCTTCTTTCTTTCACGTATACTTTATGCTAACGGGGTTATTATAAAGCACATTTTCTCAATCTGCAATCATTCTTTCAACACTTACTGGTGCCCAAAGAAAAATCCATTTTCTTTGTGTTACCCCAGTAATATATAAAAACTGTGTCTTGTTATAGTGGTACATTATGAATCACATATATCTCAGAATACAGAGCAACTGTTAAGATAGAAAACACCAAACCCCCACAGCTTATTTCTTTCCACTATAATCGGAATGAAAAATAACTTAAGAAGGCCCAAGGCTGACACTTCTTTGGGTATTTTTCCCCCAGCTTATTCCTGCGCAAATTATTAGAGTAAATAAAAAGCCACTTCCCTGCTATCCATTTGTTACACATTCCAGACTTAAGATAAAAGTGGTTCTTTATGTGACTGAATCAATTACAGCTTACGGGCTTAAGCCAAATAGGTCGAAGACAATCTTCCAGACAGATCAATGGAATAGAATTTCATTGGAAATGTAAAACACTTCCCCAACAACCTTCATGATGTTCTTCCATTTTTGAGAAGAGTTTCATATGCTTGGCCACTTTTTAGCTTTCGTCATTGTTTCCCACTTCCAAAAAGTTAGGCAGCCAGTTGTTAAAAATTATGTGAACACCATGTGGGGTTCTGTAAGGGAGGAGATGTTTACTTTGTCTTTGATGGAACTTCATCTTCCAGTTACCTGGTTATAATTGATTTTGGAGTATGGGAGCTGTTTCTCTTACATTTTGGTTAAAGAGGACAGTATAAAGAAAACTCTTGTCAAATCTCACGAGTAATTTCATGAGAAATAGTGACTTAGAGCATTATCTCCACCGAATTCTTATTTGCAGCAAGGTGCTCAACAGCAGGAAGTGGGTGATGTGTCTGGAATAGGACATGAGGTATATTATTTTGCCTGTGTAATTTTGACATCATTTTTCAAAGATCGTGAAAGCCTAGCTTTATTGGAGAAAAATATCCCTCTTAAATTTTGGCCTTGTGTTAGCAGAATGGTAAGTGCAATAGTTGTAAATCTACTTGACACTATAATAAACTGAACTGAACTTTTTAAAGTCCTTTTCTCATACTAGACTGAGTCTTTTGAGAATGGATATGGTACCTTTATATCTCCAGCCCTTTGCATGATATAGGGCTCAATAAAAGTTGGTTGGTTGGTTGGTTGGATAATTGGTAGATTGGTTAGTTCGATGGAAAGCTTTCACACATAGCAATACTGTCTTGGATACACCAAGATCCAATATCTTTCCTCTTCAACTTGTTGACAGAAATCTTTATTGAAACAAAATCCAAAGTTTTGTATCATTTCGCTCCTTCATGGCAAATTTTTTGCTTGCCACTTACTACCAACTCAACTGACAAGAAGCCAAGATGTTGCTCAGGATGGGTTTTCATAGGTGCCTTCTTGTTCTCTTACAATGATCGAACGTAATTTTTATACTCAGTGAATTTCATAGGGGAGAAATAGGAATGTATTTTTTCCTTTCCATAATTTTAGGTGAAACCTGATATTGTACAACCAAGCCTACTCAAACTAGAATCTTCAAATTCTTTTTCTTGGGCGCCTGGGTGGCTCAGTTGGTTAAGCGACTGCCTTCGGCTCAGGTCATGATCCTGGAGTCCCGGGATCAAGTCCCACATCGGGCTCCCTGCTCAGCAGGGAGTCTGCTTCTCCCTCTGACCCTCTTCCCTCTCGTGCTCTCTATCTCTCATTCTCTCTCTTTCAAATAAATAAATAAAATCTTAAAAAAAAAAACATTCTTTTTCTTTAGTGGGTTGAAACTAGAGAAGTAATTTATTTTTTTATTTTTATTTTTTAAGATTTTATTTATTCATTTGAGACACAGAGATAGAGCATGAGCAGGGGGAGAGGGAGAAGCAGGCTCCCCGCTGAGCCAGGAGCCCGTTGTGGGACTCGATCCCAGGACCCTGGGATCATGACCTGAGCTGAAGGCAGACGCTTAACCATCTGAGCCACCCAGGTGCCCCTAGAGAAGTCTTAATAAATTATTCTCATCCTTTTGAAATACTTAAGAGTTTTTAAAAAGATGTCCTTGTTTACATAGCTGGGGGGTTAATATAATATATCTGTCATTGTGCTCATGGAAATCACAGGTTTTAAATATAGCCTGAAACAGTCATAGTGAAAAACAATCAGTGCATTTATCAAGATTTATTGTTAGAACGAGCATTTGGAAAAAAAAAAAAATTTTTTTTCTATAGTATTGGTTATACATCAAGTCTTAACAATAATTTTTTGGTTTTTATTCAGTTTCTTAGGCTTAGATACATATACCTAGAGAAATAGTGATGGATATTTGGGCTAATTATAATAGGAGATAATTCATTATAGTCATTAATGGTTTATTCGTTTTTATGGTTAATTCCTTTAAATTAATGCCAGATGCACTTGGGCCATATGATTCATAACTCAATGCCATTTTGAATACTTAACAGTGAATTTTTTCAGAACTAATAGGAAATCATTTTTTTTTTAAGATTTTATTTATTTATTTGAGAGAGCGAGAATGAGAGAGAGCACATGAGACGGGGAAGGGTCAGAGGGAGAAGCAGACTCCCCGCTTAGCAGGGAGTCCGATGTGGGACTCGATCCCGGGACTCCAGGATTGTGACCCGAGCTGAAGGCAGTCGCTTAACCGACTGAGCCACCCAGGCACCCAGGAAATCATTTTCTAACCTATGCCTTTTTTACTTCACTGTATATTATAGAGGGGGAAAAAAAAATACAAAGCCTAAATCAGAACAACAGCACCATCTAGGGGCCTCTCTCCTAATTGCAAGCTCATCCTGTTAAACCACAGAAGAGTTGGCCTCAGACCAGAACTCAACCTGCAGAGGTTAAATGATTTGCCTAAGGTCATAAAGGTATGGCAGAGCCTAAAGCAAAACCTAGCTAGCTCTACTGATTCCCAATTGAGTGATTTCCCCATTTGTTGTGCTAAAATGATACATTTCTCTTTAGCAATTAAACAAGTAGATTTGATCTGTTTTATTGTTCTATAAACATAACTTCTCAGGTATAATACATAATTAGAATGAGTTGCACAATGTGTTGTGATGAGCACTGGGTGTTATACACAACTAATGAATCACTGAACACTGTCAAAAACTAATGATGTACTATACAGTGGCTAACTGAACATACCACATACATACATACAAATACCAGTTTAAAAAAAAAGAATGAGTTGCAGAGAATAAATTAAAGCCTTAAATTTATTTCTCTTCAAGAAAATAAGAGAATTCCTGCTTAGCTTCTTAATTTTATGTAGACAGTTTATATTGATGTTACCTAAAAACTCAAACATGAACTGATCCATTAATGGGGATTCCTTTTAGGCTTAATAGGGAATTTATGAATGCTTGAAACATCAGATCATGAAAAGATGTTTCTGTGAGGCTGTGCTCTTGGTAAGAGCAAAAATTCCTAAACCTAGGTTTTCATACACATGTAGTGCAAAACACTGTTACAGTATTTTGGAGTCTAATAGATTAACTCAGGCACTGTTAAGCTAATACATTTATATTTTAGAGTCTGGGATACATTCTGGACTTTTTTTTTTTTAAGGAATCTTAATTGTATGTAAGCCATGGATTGTTTATCTTCAAATACTGTGAATTAGCCAATAACTCATTGAAATATTTTTCAGAAGAAGTAGTGATTCAAATTCCTTTAGAAGAATTTAGAAAGGAAAGGAAATTTAGAAAGGAAAATTACCTATTGGTTGTCTATCCTCTTTTAACAGAAATCAACTGAGAGTCTTAATACCACAATACCCGTATTTAGTTCTTCTTTACAATTAAAATAAAAAGGACAGTGACATTTATTTCTTCACTCATAATTAAGTTTGTTTATTCAATAGAGCCCTGACTCAGAGGACCACTGAGGCCCACCACAATGTTCTCCCGATCCCAAGTAGTCAACAGCTGAAGAGCAGATTTGTTACTTCCAAAGAGCATCAGAGCATGTAACTAACCCTTCAATTCAGTAGTGTTACCTAAGATTGCTCTATACAGACATACTTCAGTGATATTGAAGGTTCAGTTCCAGACCACTGCAATAAAGTAAATATCACAGTAAAGCAAGTCAAATGAATATTCTGGTTTCCCAGCGCATATAGAAGTTATGTTTACACTATACCATAGTCTATTAAATGTGCAATAGCATTATGTTTAAAAAAAATGTACATACCTTAACTTAAAAATACTTTATTGCTAAAAAATGCTAACCATATCTGAGCTTTCAGCAAGTCATAATCTTCTTGCTGGTGGAGGGTTTGGCCTCAGTGTTGATGGCTGCTGAGTGACCAGGGTGGTGGCTGCTGAAGGCTGGGGCGGCTGGGGCAATTTCTTAAAATA